GCCCCAAAGGGAGCCACGGGCTCAGGCTGGAGATTCCATCCACACCCGAAGTGGAAACTTGTGTTCCCTCCTTCTGCGCCCTTTGTAGAAACTGTAGGACCGACAGGCAACATGAAAACAGTGTAAGTCCCGCCCTCACAACAGTCCCCTGACCTCTGCATTCTCTTGGCCACCCTGCCGTGGGATTTTCCATGTACATCACACATACAGAAACACGTTCGTATGAACTCAGCCTCACAGGATACACCCGGCTGGGTTCTCACTGGGTACAGCATCAAGCTGTGTCCACTGCACATCTCATGGCAGTGAGGGTAGCTGTGCCCTAATTGCAAGTTTGGCAAACAATCCTAGAACCCCTACCACAGGCAAGTGTAGCCGACCCACGTTGGCAGGTCTCGGGTCCCTCCTGCCCCAGGGGCCACCCGTGGGGAACCAGCTCACTCCTCCGAGCTTTCCCCAGCCAGGTGCCACTTGTGGGGGACCTAGACCCACTACTTTGCTCTTCCTGACCCAGAGGCAAAGGAGGATGAATGACAGACACTGAGTCAGCTCAACGTGCAGGCAGCCAGGGGGCGCTCACCTCTAGCAGGCAGAGGACCCTCCATGTCTGGCTCATCTTACCTTTAGTCCCCCAAGCAGGGGCGCAAACAATCAAAGTAACACAAGATTCATCTGCTTTCCAGCATCATTAGTACATGCTCTGGTAAACAACTTCACCTCAGCTGTCTTAAGTTTTCCCTAGAACCTGCAATGAGCCGTCACCCCTGAGTGCAGCCTTTCTCCTTTGTGCTCCCAGAGGAGGCCAATTAGGCCTCACTCCTCCTCTGATCTCCACAGGCAAGGAACAATCCACTCTCCCAGTTTCCTGCACAGTCCTTCGCACTGACTTCTGCCCCAGATTCCGGCAATCAGTGGTCCATTTTCTGTCCTTCCCCAAATGGTCTTAGCAATGGTGTGTAGCTCTTTCCACTTAGCAGAAGGCACTGGAGCCTCATTCATGCTATCATGCCACCTGTCCCTTTGTCTCAAACTGTCGATGCCCTAGTGTGGTGGGATGGTCTCTCATGGAAGAACATCAAGAGTGTTTGTAATTTGTAGTGATTGTGGTAGTCAGATTTTTATCACTGTGACAAAATACCTGAGATAAACAACTTCAAGGAGAAATTCATTTTGGCTCATGGTTTCAAAGGTTTCAGTCCATGGTCAGCCAGCTCCATTACTCTCAGGTCTGTGGTGAGGTGGAAACATCATGGTGGAAGGATGTGGCGGAAGAAGCTGCTCACCTCATGTTGGCCAGGAACTGGAGAGAGAAAGAAGGGGTTGGGGAGGAGATATGGTCCCTCAAGGATATGTCCCCAAGAGCCACTACCTTCAACCTGGTCACATCCTCTAACTTCTCATCACCTCTCAACTGCCCATCACGTTACAGACCCATTAATGGCTGCATCTAAGTTAGATCCCTCATGACCCCAAAGCCTCACCTTTGCACATTCAGCTTTGGGGACCAAGACTTTAACACAGGAGACTTGGGGACATTCCAGTCCCTAAACCAAAATCCCAATCATGAGTAAAACCACATGGAGTCATTCTTAATGGCTGCATGTGTCTGCGGTGTGGACACTGCAACATTTATTCCACCAGTCTTGGTTATTCGGTATTTAAGTGGTTTCCTTTTACTTTTTTCTTTCTTTTTTTTTACCCAGGGCCTTGGCATTGAGCTCATCCTCAGCACCCCCCCGCTTTTTTGGTACCGAGGATCAAACTTGGGTCCTTGAGCCTGTGGGGCAGGCCGCGGAACCACTGAGCTAAGTCCCCAGCCTTCCCCCACCTTTTTTGATGTTTTGAGACAAGGTCCACTAAGTCACTAAGTTGCCCAGGTTGGGCTGGAACTTGTGATACTCCTGCCTCAGCCTCCCAGAGTGCTGGGATCATAGGTGTATGCCATCATGCCTGGCTCCAGCCCTTGCTTTAACATACATAAACTTGTCAGTGTTTCCTTCTCCCTGAAGGGCCTCGTGTTAGCTTTCGGTACCATAACAAAACCCCCAAGATAACCAACTTACACAGAACAGAGAAAAGGTGAGTTTTGCTCACAGGGTGGAGGTTTTAGTCCATGTTCAGTTGGCCTGATTGCTTTTTGGCCAGTGGTGTGGCAGGGACCTAAGACCTTCCAACAGCCCCACCACCACTTTCAACACTGCTAAGCAGAGGACCAAGCCTTTAACATATGATAGCAGGGCCCTGGCCCAGAGCAGTGGGTCTCAGTGAGGACACATCCACATGGAGCTGTTTGAATGCAGATGCCAGCCGGGCATGGTGCTGCACACCTACAATCCCAGCGTTCTGAGAGGCTGAGCCAGGAACATCATACGTTCCAGCTGAGCCTGGGCAACTTAATGACTTAGCAAGACCCTGGTGCAAAATAAAAAATAAAAGGGGGGCAGGGATATAGCTCAGAGTGAACGACTTGGGTTCAATCCCCAGTACCACCAAAAAAATTAATTACACTAAAATACGGATGCCCGGGCCACACCCAGCCAGTTAACTGTCCCTGTCAGGGAGGCTCAGCCACACCCTGCTGTGCTGTGCCCCAGGAGGAGATGGCCCCCCAGATCCACCTGCAACCCCCTTCCCACACGGGGCTCCCCCAGACCAGATGGGGAGATCAGGCCCAGCGAGCACAGAGACCTGGTCAGTTTCCACAGGTGCCTGCCATAAGCTGCCAGCTCCATTCCAGGGATCTTTGCTGCAGCCTGGGGCCTCTGCACAGGCAGCTCTTTCAGGTGCTGCTGGGCACATGCAGCTCCAACCTGCCCCTGCTTTGAAAGCCAGGTCCCCGGGAAACAGCCCACTGTGGGGCCCCTGCCGCCCCCAGGGGAGTCGCAGGTCCAGCTCTATGCTCACTCTCCAGAGACAGCCTGGGGCCCTCACGCGTACACACACACACACATACACACGCCACTCCCTGGACACTGTGCTCAGTCTGGGAGATGAGAGATCACCGCAGAAGCAGGAGAAAACCCAGTCCCATGTGCCCCGCTCCATCGTAGGCCACCTCTCAGGTACAGGGCAGAGCCCCGCCCTGTCCATGTCACCCTCAGCCCTTCGAGGTCCCAGCAGAATGTGCAGCAGTGCTTGGAGGACTGGGGCATCTCTAAGCCAGTTTCCTCCAGCAGTGCTTGTACGAAACTGCTAGACCAACACTTTTGCATAGCTGCACTGGGTTCTGGGTGTGACGGCCTCTGTGTGCAAAGGAAGAGAGAGCCTCCAAGGGGAGCCAGGCTGAGATGGGAACATCAAGAGGAGAGGAACCAGTTTTAGGAGACAGGAAGTGAGGGAACTGCTCAAGGGACATTCAGCAGGGCTGCATCTGAGGAGGGTGAGAGCTGGGCCCTCGGGTGGCAGGAGGGGTTGGGGAAAGAGACCTGCACCCCAGCCTCCTGGCTGGGCTTCGAGGGTCCCGACCCTGGCCGCTCTAAAGGTCTGGAGAGGCAGTGGTGTCCAGGAGGCCAGGAGGATGACAGGGCTGAGCCTCCTGCCTCTTTCCCTCAGCCCTGTGCCCTGGGACAGAGCTGGAGCCCAGATTGGCCATGAAAGACAACAGAAAAGGCCAGAGGAGAAGAAAGTGGGCAGGCCAGCGGCACAGGCCCAGAGGAGAATGGACTTGGGGACCTGAGAACGGAACCAGGAGAGGCCTGCAAAAAGCCAAGCTCACCCTGATCGCACCTCTCCAGGGCTGGAGGTTGGGCAGGGCTGCCCTCCCATTCCTGACTCGGCACACCCTGGGCAGCCAGCCAGGAAACATCTCTGCCAAAAGGCCGGAGTTCCACCTCACCCGAAGATTCCACCCACGCGATCCCAATCATGGAAAAGGAACTGCTGGATCCATGTGCATGAGCTTGTTTTCATTTTGTTGAACATGGTTGCTAAATTGGGTTCCGGGGAGTGAATCCCTCCTTCAAACTGGCAATTCCTTCACGCCTTCCACACTTGGGACCAGGTCGCTAACCCGGCAGGTGAAGACATTTTCCCTTAAACACGCACTCCTCTCGGGGACAGTGTGAGGCCTGGTCATGCACAGATCAGCTGGTATTTCCCTTTTCCTTCTTCCTCCTCTTTCTTCACCCTGAGCTACACCCTCAGCCCTTTTTTAATGTTCTGAGACTGGGTCTCATTAAGTTGCCCAAACTGGGCTAGAACTTGTGATCTTCCTGCCTCAGCCTCCCATACTTAGGGATTACAGGTGTGTACCACCACACCAGCTCCACTAGGACTTCTGAGAATTGCCCACTTGTGTTTCTTTGCCAACTTTATTAGATCATAGTCTCTTATCTATAGAAAATTTTATTACTTCCCCTTTTTAAATTATATTTTTTAAAACTTTATGCTAATTAATCTTAATTTCAAAATGTCACATTAAAAAGCGAACCAGTTTGTCTTTTGACCCAAATTTTTAAACACATTTTAAATTTGTATGTGGTTCACTTTTATCATTCTTTTTCTTTAGTATTTCCAAATTTATTGTGATATTAGTTCTTTTTCCAGTATGGTTTTGGTTTCTTTTTCAGATTTGAATGTTTGATCCATCTGGAATTTATTTGGTGCTAAGCAGTAAGGGAGGGCGCCAATTTCTATTTTTCCAAAGGGCCGGCCAGTTGTCCCAACATCACTCGCCAAAAAAACCTTCCGCGCCCCTTCGATGCGGCGGCCCCAGGAGCGCTCGCGGACCCTCCAAAACCAGCGAATCCCGCGGATCCCGCGCGGGGCGGCGTCCCCAGGAGGGAGGCGCGGGCTGGGCCCTGCGAGCAGCTGGTACAGAGAGGTACACTCCTCCCCGAGGAAGCCACGCCCAGACAGAGGCCTCGCCCCAAAGGACGATGCAGCCACGCCCACCTCCCCTCGCCGGCCCCTCCCGCGCCCGGCCGCGCCTCTCCAAGAGGGTGATTTAAATAGAAGGCGTGTCCTTTGCCTTATTTGCATAGGGGCGTGGCCCACTTCCCTGTCCAGCAGGCTTCCGTCCGTCCTCCTTCCTTTGGGCTTCCGTCCGCCTTCCTTCCGCGGAACCGAGGAACCGCTGGCGTACATGCTCAGATGCTTCCAAAGCGGCGGCGAGTGCGGGCCAGGTCTCCGGGCGGCCCTGCCGCCTCCTCCACGTCGTCTTCTGCGCTTTTCCCCGGCGTCGCGATCTACCTGGCTGAGCCGCGCATGGGCCGCAGCCGCCGGGCCTTCCTCACACGCCTGGCGATGTCCAAAGGTTTCCGCGTCCTGGATACCTACAGGTGCGCGGTCCCCGAGGCCGGTGTTCTGCGGCCGCCGCTTCGGTCCTCCCTGCGGCCTTGGGATGAAAGTTAGACCTGGCTCTTCGCGTCGCGGTCCCTCTCCAGCCGCAGTTTCTTCTTCCGTGAAGGGTGCCGTTCATTAGGGCCAGGGGTGTCTGCAGTATCACTGAAACTCAAGCCCAGGATTTCAAAGAGCCGCACCTGGCGGATGCCCAGTGAGAATAGCCTTGAGATGGGAGAGCAGATGGACTTGGGGCCAGTGCTCCATGCAGCTCTTATTTACCTGCTTTTTAAATTAATTAAACATTCCTAAGGGGCAGTACTACATCAGACTCACCTGAGAGAAGTTGGGGGGGTGGGGAAGAAAATATCTTAGAGTGCATCAGGGCACTGTTTTACAACAGCCCTACAATGTATGCTATCTTTTGCTTTATAAAGGAGAGGAAACCCGACTTGCCCAAGGGCATGCACCAAGTTTTGCAGAGCTGGGGTTCAGACAAAAGTAGGCAGCCTCGGCAGCTGCCCTTAAATCCACTGCTGAGATGAAGACTGGCTGGTCTCGGCCTCTGGGAAGCCCCTGTCTCTGAGGTGGAGAGAGGGACAGACATATTAACAGTGAGGCTGTCCTCAAGAGCATACCTGGGGCAGAAAACCAGTTTTGTTTTCCCAGTACTGGGAATTAACCCAAGGCCTTTGCACTGAGCTACATTCTCAGCCCTTTTTTGAGACAGAGTCTACATTGTCCAGGCTGGGCTCAAACTTGCAGTCCTCCTTCCTCGGGTTAGGGTTAGGATTAGATGTGGTGTGCCCCCACCATTCCTGGCAGAATCACAGTTCTGAGAGTGCTAGAGGTGTTCATCCCCAGCAGGAGGGCCCAGGCTTTCTAGAGGAGGTGACACTTGAAGAATGAAGGGGAGTCACCTTGCAGGGCAAGGCAAGGACAAAGGCTGGCAGGTATGGAGAGGAACAGGGTGGGGCCCCCCATGGGCCTCACCCTCTTCCTCTCCCTTCACCAGCTCTGAAGTGACACACGTGGTGATGGAGGGGACCTCAGCGGGGGAGGCTGCCTGCTGGCAGGAAAACGAGGCTGCTCCTCCCCCAGGATGCCCCCGCCCAGCTCTGCTGGACATCAGCTGGTTCACAGAGAGCATGGCAGCTGGGCAGCCAGTGCCTGTGGAGGGCCGGCACCGCCTGGAGGTGAGCTGGTGCAGCCTGGTGGTATGGGAGGAGTGCCTCTGTGTTCTCCAGAGGATGTGAACAGTGAGTGCTCTGACTAGAGCACCAGGAAGCCCTGAGAAGCCAGTAGAGGTACCATGACAGGTGCTGGGGCTGGATGTTTCAGCATCTATCCTCACCACTTGGGGTTCACTTACTTTTAGCATCTTCAGACCTTTCTTCCTCACTGAGTAAGTGGATGACCTTCATGATTCTCAGGAGCTGGGCTGCCTGCACTCAAGTTCTCTCTGCATGTGAACATGAGGCAGAGGCCAGTTTTTTCACATCCGGGACCTCAGTGGCCCAGCCCACTTGGCTGTGAGGATTTGGGGAGGTGGAACACATGCAGCATGTGTTCTCCACAAGGTTTGGCAGATGTTGCTGCTGTTACTCTGGCCTGAAGAACACCATCTGCAGTCTGTTCTGCAGGCCGGTGCCTCCCTCTACCCATGCCTGGCCTCTCAAAGTTGGCTGCCTCTGTCCTGGGGGGCCCCCGAGGGTCCAAGGTGAATGCTCAGAAGAGGCCAGGGTCCTGCCTGGCTCCTGGGAGCCCTCCAGCCTCATGACCCATACGTCACTCTTCCCCAGGAGGCTGAGCTCAGGAAGGGGCCCCCAAACCCAGCAGCAATGCCAGCCTATGCCTGCCAGCGTTCCACACCCCTCATGCACCACAACAGCAGCCTCTCGGTGAGCTTCGTGAGCAGGTCCTGCCCTAGGAGCTCAGCAGGGGTGGTATGGTAGCTGGGGGTTCACCAAGGGCTCCTCTCTGCAGGAGGCCCTGGAGACTCTGGCAGAGGCAGCAGGCTTTGAAGGCAGCGAGGGTCGCCTCCTCTCCTTCTGCAGAGCAGCCTCAGTCCTCAGGGCCCTGCCCTGGCCCGTCACGGTGCTGAGCCAGCTTCAGGGGCTGCCAAACTTCGGAGAACATTCCTCTAGGATCGTTCAGGTCAGTGTCTGCCATGCTGAACTGGTGAGTGGGAGGTAGGAGGCCCTGAGGCCTGGTGTGAGAGTGGGGCTTCTGTTTTCAGAGTCCAGCAGGGAGGGACAGAACTGCCCCAAAGCACTGCAGGCCGTCCTCATGCAGGGAGCCGCTGGCCTTGGTGTCGTTGTCATGGGTGCCAGGCACCCAGCCCAGGATAGTGGAAGAGAGCACCCTGAGTGTAAGGTTTTGAGAACCTGACACATGGAGCAGTCCTTCTGTGCACTTTCACTTCAAGAACACATAGTGGTGAAAGACGCTTTCAAGTGAAGTCATGCACGGTTTGAAAGCAAATGTTTATATCTCCTGGGCCTGAACATCCACCTGCAGGATGACCCATGTTACTTTCAGCCTCAGCTGCTGTTCATGCTGAGTCCCTCTGGACCCCAACCCCACAGGGCCTCCCTGCTGGGTGGGGAGGGGACCATCCTGTCCCTGGGCCCCTGTGCCACCCCCAACTGTTCATTCTCTTTCTCTCCAGTCCCAGGGGCTTAGAGTTTTGTTTTTGTCTTCTCCCCAGGAGCTGCTGGAGCGAGGAGTGTGTGAGGAGGTGAAGAGGGTTCGAAGCTCTGAGAGGTACCGGACCATGAAGGTGCGCAGGCGGGTGGGACCCTGGCAGGGCCACAGCACAGTCCACAGTACACAGAGGGTGGAGGCAGGGGATGCTGACCGAGCGCTGCGGTCAGAGGAGGTCTGGAGTGGCAGCTGAGCTGACACCTGACACACACAGGACCTCCAAGTGGAGACAGGCAGGCAGAAGCCTACTTGAGCACAGGGAATTTTCTAGAACACTTGGCACCGTCTGGTTTGTTTTTTCATTTTTTCCCCCGTAATTGAGATTGAACCCAGGGCCTTATGCACACTAAGCAAGTGCTGTGCCATGGAGCTAAATACCCGGCCCTTTTTATTTTTCTGTTTTGAGAAAGGACTCCACTGATTTGTCCAGGCTGGCCTTGAACTTGCTATCCTCCTGCCTTCTCCTCCAGAATGACTGACTAAGATTACAGGTCTGCCACCAGGCCTAGCTAATCTCAGGATTTTTAGTCAGGTTTCATTGGCCAAAGTGACAGTGGCCTGCCTCATGTTATAGATTCAAGAACCAGGGAGAGGATGGCCCCACAAAGCCCAGAAGGGGCAGATCTGTAGCCACTCTTTCCTCCTGTGATGCGCGCCAGTGTCCCTGCTGCAGGAGACGTGGCCGCTGGGGGAGTCTGAGTGGCTGGCTCGGGTCCCCTGGACCACTTACTGGCTCCCATGCCACCTCTGGGGAGCCTCAGGGGGGCCCGGCCTCCCCTCAGCGCTCCTGCTGAAACCACCCTCGTTTACTATGTGATGAGAACCATGAAGCAAGTTCCAGCTGCTTGGGAACGAGAAAGGGGGTTTCCAGAGAGGAGGAGCCGCTCACCTGGCTGAGCTGCTGGGTGGCAGAGCTCCCAGCTCAGCAGTTTAGGCGGGCTGGGCAGGCCGACCTCAGAGTTTTGTCCTTGCCCTGTAGCCTGGGCCCACAGGCACATGTGCTCGGGGAGCTTCACACTCACCCGCCACCTGGCCTTCGTCCACACAGCTCTTCACTCAGGTCTTCGGGGTTGGGGTGAAGACCGCCAACCGGTGGTACCAAGAAGGGCTGCGCACCCTGGATGAGCTGCGGGAGCAGCCCCAGAGACTGACCCGGCAGCAGCGGGCAGGTGAGCCCCAAGAGGTCAACCTGCTTCCCAGAGCCCTCAGCACACTCTGCCTGAGCAGAGGGGCGGGGAGCAGCCTGTGCGAAGGGGCTTTGGTGGCTGGCGGTAGTTGTGGTCGCGGCATGGCGGTGGCAGGGGCCCATGTTGCCGGCTCCTGTGAGCCCCAGGCCCATCCAGCATGCTCTGTGACGGGAAAGAACACCAGCTTCCAGGTTCCTTGGGCCTGGGTTCAAGTCCTGTCCTCGTTTACCACGTAGGTGACCATGAGCCCGAGACTGACCGCTTGGAATCTTGGTCACCTTTTCTGTGAGGTGGGGAGGCTGGAAGCAGGGCTGCAACGCTCCTGCCTCAGCCTCCCAGGGTGCTGGGATTACAGGCATGCACCACTGTGCCTAGCTTCTTCCCATGTCTTGATTACCTCTGGTCCCACCATGTGAATGGAGAAACTGTCAACTCAGCATCCTTATACTTGACTCTACTGTAGTTTTGCACACTGTTACCTTTGTGGGAAGTGGGGTAACCTGCACAGGGGGCCTCTCATTTCCTTCAACCAAATGCAAGTCTGCAGTTACATCAAGATAAAAACTAGTATGTGAGCTGGGTGCAGTGACACACACCAGTAATCCCAGCGCTCTGTGAGGCTGAGGCAGGAGGATCACAAGTTCTAGCCCATCGTGGGTAACTTAGAGACTTAGCAAGACCCTGTCTCAAAATTTTAAATAAAAGAGGCTGGGATCCAGCTTAGTGTGAAGGTCCAGGGTCTGGGCTCAATCCCCAGTACCAAAAACCAAAGCGAAGCACTGATATGTACTCGGGAGGAGCTGGGCCGCTGAGCACCTGCGCTCCGGACGAGGCCTGGTGGGGTGGCGACAGGCCTCATGAGGTCATGTGGCTGCTGCCTACAGGGCTGCAGCACCACCGAGACCTGTGCACCCCTGTGGGGCGGCCAGACGCCGAGGCTCTGCAGCGGCTGGTGGAGGCCACTGTGGGACAGGCCCTGCCCGGGGCCACTGTCATGCTGACCGGCGGCTTCCGGAGGTAAGGGCCCAGTATCCTCCTGGCTGGACTCCAGGCCTGGCCCCAGCAAAGGGACCTGTGTGTGGACACTAATCGGACTCCCATCCCTTGGAAGGGACCTGGCCCGCAGGCAGTCTACCCTGCCCGTGCTGCCCCCAGTGCCACCCTGTCCCTGTAGGGGGAAGCTGCAGGGCCATGACGTGGACTTCCTCATCACCCACCCCGAGGAGGGCCGGGAGGTGGGGCTGTTGCCCAGCGTGGTGTGCCAGCTCCAGAGCCAGGTGAGAGCCCTGGGCCCTGCCCAGTGAGCCCTGCCCACCCCTCAGCCGAGCCTGGACCCCTGCTCTGCCCCCAGGGCCTCGTCCTGTACCACCAGCACCAGCGCAGCCACTTGGGGGACCCCGACCACCTGGCCCGGCAGAGCCACACCATGGATGCCTTCGAGCGGAGTCTCTGCATCCTCCGCCTGCTGCAACCCTCCCAGCCTGCCAAGGGGGCAGACTCAGAGCCCCGGCCCTGGAGAGCCGTGAGGGTGGACCTGGTGGTCGCCCCCTGGAGCCAGTTCCCTTTCGCCCTGCTCGGCTGGACTGGCTCAAAGGTGGGCTCTGGCGGCCCCACTGAGGCACCTACTCCCCAGGGGTCGCTACATCCCAGCCGGCCCCACTGAGGCATGCTCTTCCCCACAGCTTTTTGAGAGGGACCTGCGCCGCTTCAGTCGGAAGGAGAAGGGGCTGTGTCTGAACAGCCACGGGCTGTTTGACCCAGAGCAGGTAGGTTCGGGATTAGGGTGGTGAGGAAAGAGCCCCCACGCCACCCAGGACCCAGTTCTGGGCTCAAGTCCCAGATCTGGCCCAGAAAGGCACCCAGCCTGTCTTGGGTGGCTGTGCCTCGGAGCGTGGGCTGGTCTCTGATGCCCCTCACCTTTTGCAGAAGTCGTGTTTCCACGTGGCTTCCGAGGAGGACATCTTCAGACACCTGGGCCTGGCGTACCTGCCCCCGGAGCAGAGGAACGCCTGACCCCGTGCTGCCCGAGCCTGTCCTTAATGCCCCAACCCGTGACCGTTGAATATCTTCATGTGGATGTGCTGCCACCCTGGTCTCACTTTTGGGGCACAGCTGTGGGACCCTGGGCTGGCCCTCAGCCTCCTCACACCCTGGTTCCTGCCCTGGCCATGGAGCTGAGCCACGAATGTCGTGGTGCTGCAGTGGGGGCTGCGCCATCCACCGAGGCCAGTGGCTGTGTCTCCTGAGGCCTCTGCTCAGAGGGCCGGGAGCCTCCGGGCTCTGCCCCTGCTGCAGCCCAGAGCTGGCAGCTGTGAGGGTCCACTGTGCGGTGCGGGCGTCTGGAGGGGCCCAGGCCGAGAGAACTTCAGCTCCAAGGCATCCCGCTTCTGCCTCAGGCCTGTCAGATATTCAGTGTTCTTAAAAACAGGCCACCTCCTGGCTCTCCCCACTCAGCCCTGTGGCAGTTCCCTGCCCAGAGCCCTCAGGGTGCGGGGAGCTTGTGTCCTGCCCCCCTGGCCAGCCCATCCAAGTGCCTTCTCTCACTCCTGGCCCAGCACCGCCCACCTTATGGTTCCTCATGGGCGCCAGCCCTATGGCAGCCCCTCTCCTGCTCTCTACGGAGCCAGTGTTCTGTGCTGTGCTTCGCACATCCCCAAGCACTGTGGGCTCGGGGGTCACCTTTGCCACATTGTCCACCTTCTCCGGGTCCTGCGGTCACCTTGCCAGGTAGGGCTTCCCAGACCACTCACCCACCGCATTAAAAAGTATTCTGAAAGTTAACGTGCAGTAAAAACAGATTATTTCAGAGTATAGTTTTATGAGTTTAGAGACTTGTCACCTGCCACCGTCAGGACACAAGAAGTCTGTCTCTCATGTGTTCCCTGTGCTGTTGTGATGTGGCAGTGCTCCCCACCCCGCAGAGTCACAGAAGTGGAACCAGCTTGTCCCACCCTCTCTGTCAGCATAATGCCTGTGAGGGTCTCGCAGGCTGCTGACTGTATCCTCCTCCTTGCTCTGCAGTATTCCATGCTGTGGCCATTCCACAATTTGGCTGGTTTCCAAGGTGTGATAATGAGCAGAGCTGTGGTGGTTTCTGTGTGGACATATGCTTTCACTTCTCGGGCAAATAGCAAGATGGGATTTATAAGAAGAGCCACACTGTGGTCTAGAATGTGCCACCCATGCAAGCTGGATGTTGGGCTGGGGATTTAGCTCAGTGGTTTCGCCCCCTGCTGCACAAGCGCAAGGACCCAAGTTCGATCCCTGGTACCAAAAAAATAAGCTGGACGTTTCCGGCAGCAGTGGCTGTATCCTCAGGACTCCATACTTTCAGTGTTGATTTTAGCTTTTCTAGTAGCCCTGAAGCAGTAGCTCACGGGTTTTTCTTTTTGGTGGGGCTGGGACTGAACCCAGGGCCGCATCCATGGTAAGTGCATACTCTATCCCTGAGCTACATCCCCAGCCCACTTGGGATGGTTTGTTTTCCTTTTTCAATGGAGCAGTACTTTATTTTCACCCACTTTGGCATAAAGAGTCAAATCTTCCCAGTGGAAAATGGAGAACATGAAACTCAGACTCCAGCCACCAGCAGTGGCTGTCAGGGCCCAGGTCCGGCCCAAGTGCCGAGGTGGCGGCCTGTGCCTCCCTCCCTCTAGCAGCTTACGCCGCTCCTGGGTGCACGAGTGCATCTCCTAGCTCTCTGCCAGCACCAACATCCTGTGAGACCATCTGATTGTGTCTTGTACACTTGCTGTGCCTGGATGAACACTCTGTGTTCTACCCATTCTTTTGCAGAAACGTGGCAACCGCTGAGCAGAAATCTTGCCGAGCTGTTCAGCACTCTCTGTCACCCGGCAGTCTGTGCTAAGCTCCAGCCTTTTTCTTTATCTATTTTTGTTTTGGTGTTGAGGGGTGCAGTGCTGAGGACCCAAGCCAAGGCCTTGTATATGCTAGGCAAGGGCTCTACTACTGAACCTGAGGGCCAGCTTTTTTGCACATAAAGCATAGCACCTTAAACAGTGCTCATGTCTACGTGCACTAACAATGCATATGGCTGATTGTGGCTTAATGGTGTTGAGCATCTTCTCACCAGCTTACTTGCTGTGCTTCCTTTTTGGCAAAATGTCCAAGTTTTCTGCCTTCCTTTTTCCCCTAGTACTGGGGATAAAACTAAGGACCTTAGCACTAACTCTAGCCTTATCCTCTTTTATTTTTCATTTTGAGACGAGGTCTCTAAATCCTCAATTTGCCCACGCTGGGTTCAGACTTTGTCAGGAGCCATTCTACATAATTTTGGGGAAAAAAATCATTTCACAATTAAATTATGATTAGGGCTGTATGAGGCCTAGTCTTCTTGCCTGCGGGCCAGCTACAGCAAGCCCAAACATAACTCCATTTTACCTCTAGTCAGAGCTGAGGCCTCAATGGTCCGGTGATGCTGTGATGCTCAAGGGCAAGATTACATCAGTTGAAGGCATCCTGGTGCACAAAAAGAGAAAGGTTTCACTTGGGGAGGGACATTCTTTATCAGCTTATCTAATCCCATCTACTGTTGTAAGAAACATTTTGCTCATCTCACTGTCCTAAGCAATGTAAGCTCCTCCTCAACCTAAGATCGTCATCAGCATAAGATCCTCATTGTCATAGGATTACTGCCACCCTCCGAGTCATGTAAGGCTTCCTCCAATTGTAAGATCCTCATCAATTTAGGAGTATCGATGCCCTCTGAGTCATCTGATTCTCCTTATGAACCCAATAAATAATGGCAGGCTCAAAGTGCCTTTGTCTTTGCTGTCTAGAACCACACTGATCAGGCCCAAGACCCAGCCTTTTCTCTAAGTCCCATTTCCTGTTTTTACTCTCTAATTAGCCTCGTGCTGTTGGGGCTCACAGGAGACCAGAACCCACTGCAGGGGTTCTGGTAATGTCTCCTTTCCCGATCCCTGTAAGACTTGAGATCCTCCTGCCTCAGCTACCCAGCTAACTGAGGTTACAGGAATCCACCACCACACCCAGCTCTCAATGTTTTATAATGAGTGTTGGATTTTGTTAGATGCTCTTTCTGCATCAAGCAGTAGGATCATGTGAATTTTCTTCTTTAGCCTAGTAACATTGGTTGGTTTTGGAATATAGACTTAATTATGATTCCTGAAATAAATCACACTTGGTCTTGGTGTGCTGTTCTTACCTGTTGCTGGGGTTGATTTGCTAATGTTTGTGGATTTTTATGTCTGGAAAATGTTCGTCTGTAGTTTTCTTACACTGTCTTTGTCTGATTTTGATACTAGGTTCTTGCTATTCAGGTTTGATTTTCTGGAAGAGATTGTGTAGAAGTATTATTCTTTAAGGGTTTAGAAGAATCACCACTAAAGTCACCAGGGCCTAGAGAGTTCTTTTTCAAAATGTTTTAAACTATGAATTCAGTTTCTTTAATAGATACCAGATGATTCATATTATCTATTTCTCTTGGGTGAGTTTTGGTACTTTGTGATTTCCAAGAAATAGATCCATTTTTATCAAAATTTCTGGATTTATATAGAGTTGTCCATAATATCTTCTCATCACCCTTATAATGTCACCTATAATGATGGCCTTTCTTTCCTTCCTGATGTCAGTAATCCTCTCTTCTCTCAGTCTCCTTCCCTTCTCCTCTCTCTCTCTCCCTCCCCCTCCACCTTTCCCCAGAGCCTTAACATTTATAATGATCTTTTCATAGAACTACCTTCATTTTTCATTGGTTTTATTCCTATTGTTATTTCATTGATTTCTGCTCTTTATTGTATCCTTCTACTTGCAGTAGAAGCTTAGATTGTTGATGTCTTCTTTTCTAATATAACCATATGATGACCTAAATTTCCCTCTGAGCACTAATTTAGCTGCATTCCACGGCCTTGATATGTTGTATTTTCATTTCTGTTCAGCTCAAAATATTTTCCAACTCCCCTTGAGACTTCCTCTTTGACCCATGGATTATTTAGAAGAGTGTTGGTCAGTTTCCAGTGTTGGAAATTTGCCATTAAACTTTTTGCTACTGATTTATAGTTTAATTCCTTATGGCCAGAGAACATACTCTACATGATTTTAATTCTTTTCACTTTGACAAGGCCTTCTTTAGAACCAGGATATTCTCAATCTTGGTGTATGTTGCATATCTACTTTAGAGGAAAGTATATTGTTGTTAGGCAAATGTGGTTTTTTTGTCCCTGTCTGTTTTTGTTTTGTGGTACTGGGGATTGAACCAGAGCCTCTGCGCTGAGTTACATCCCCAACCCTTTTTACTTTTTGAGACAGGGGCTCGCTAAGTTGTGTAGGCTGGGTTTGAACTTGTGTTCCTCTAGCATCAGCCTCCCAGAGCGCTGGGATCACAGGCTGGAATCACAGCCACCATGCCTGGCTTGCTTCATGTATTTTGAAACTCAGTTGTAGAATTTTTAGACATTCCTAGTATCATCACTGGGGCTGGGGATTTAGCTCAGTGGTTCCACTGCCTGGCTCACAAGCGCAAGGTCCCGAGTTCAATCCCCAGTACCAAAAAAAAAAAAAAAAAGAACCAGAATCCTAGTATCATCATCATATGATGTCCCTTTATTCCAATTTCAGAGCAATTTTTCTTGCTCAGAAATCTACTTGGTAGAAATATAGCCCTTCCAGTGCTATCCTTTTCCTTCTAACTTACATGTGTTTTTACCTTTTACTCTTATTTGTTTCATGGTATGGATTGAACACAGGCGTCATGCATGCTCTACCTGTGCTAGACCTGGGTCTACCATTGTGCTGTGTAGTACACTCCCAGCCTACCTTTTGCTGTTTTGGCTTCTTGGAGTTTTATTTTCCAATGCTGTGGATTTTGCATGGTAGGCAAATACTCTATCACTGGGCTATATCCCTAACTCCCTTTGCCTGTGTTCTAAAAACTGCTCTATTTATATATACTTCAGACTACGTAGTTCAACCATTTAAAACTTACACAATCATCACCACAATCGATTTTAGTAATCAATACCTTTTTTTTGTACTGAGGATCGAACTCAGAATCTTACGCTTGTAAGGCAGGCATGGTGCCACTGAGCTAAATCTCCAGCTCCAATACCTTTTTTTAAAACTGCAGGGAATCAAACCCAGGGCCTCACAAATGCTAAGCAAGCACCATAGCACAGTTCTGTCTATCACTCAGCCTCAGCCTGTTTTTCTTTTTGGTACCAGGGATCAAACTCAGGACCTTGTGCTTGCCAGGCAGGCAGAGGAACTACTGAGCTAAATCCCGGGCCCCTCCTAGCCTGGTTTTTTAATTATGGCCACCCTACTTACTGGATGTAAAATGCTATCTTACTGTGATTTAGATTTGCATGTTCTTAATTTTTTTTTTTTTTTTTTTTTTTTGGTGCCTGGGATTGAACTCCAGTCCTTGGGCTTGCAAGGCAGGCAGCGGTACCACTGAGCTAAATCCCCAGCCCCTAAATGTTCTTAAATTACTAGTGCACTTGGGTTCTTCTTCTTAAGATAATTGTCTTTTCAGATCCTTTACCCAATTTTCAATAAGGTTTTTTGTCTCTTTGTTGAGTTATAAGAATTCTTTCTAGGGCTGGAGATTTAGCTCAGCGGTTCTGTTGCCTGCATGGAAAGTGCAAGGACCGGAGTTCGATCCCCAGTTTAAAAAAAAAAAAAAAGAATTCTTTCTATGCTGGCACACACCTGTAATCCCAGAACTCAGGAGGCCAAGGCAGGAGGATCACCGTGAGTTTGAGGTCAGCCTGAACTACATAGTGAGACCCTGTCTCAAAAAAAAAAAAAAAAATTGTTTTGGCAACCTTGTCAAAAATCATCTAACTTTGCAGCCTTCCTTGCAACCTCAAGGTCCTAAGTTCGATCCCCAGTACAAAAAAAAAAATTCATCTAACTTTAGTGTATTTTTTTCCTAGACACTCAGTCCTGTCCCACTGATCCATATGTCTGTATCGCAGTCCCTGATGTTTTGTTACTATTTTTTTTTTTTTGGTACCAGGGATCGAACTCAGGACCTTGAGCTTTTGAGGCAGGCGCTGGAACCACTGAGCTAAATCCCTGGCCCCAGTCCCTGATGTTTTGATTACTTTAGTTCTATGGTGAGCTTTAGAACTTGGGAAACATGAGTCCTCTAACTTGGTATTTTAAAAAACTCTTTGGTTGTTCTAGGTTGAGCTTATCAATTTACACTAAAAGCCACCTAGGACTTTGATAGAGATTGTATTGAATCTGTAGATCAATTTGGAGAGTATTGACAATTACTGTATTTTATTTTTGGGTACTGGGGATCGAACTCCAGACCTTCTGCTTGCCAGGCAGGCAGCGGCACCACTGAGCTAAATCCCCAGCCACAGACTTATTTAAAGACAGATCTTACTAAGTTGCTCAGCTTGAGCTCAAATTTGTAAATTAAAAAAAAAATTTTGTATAAAATACTGGGGATTGAACTTGGAGCCTTTGAACTCAACTACATCTTCAGCCCTTTTATATTTTGAAACAAGGAAGGTCTCACTAAATTGCTCAGGCTGGGCTCAAACTTGGAGATCCTTCTGCCTCGGCCTCCCAGAGTGCCAGGATTACAAGAGTGTGCCACCATGCCCAGCAATGCCAGTTTTAATTAGCAATATTGTGTTCTGATCCATAAACATAGGTTGTCTTTGGATTTCTTTAGATCTCCTTAGCTGCTGCTGCTGCTTCTCCTTCTTTCTTCTTCCTTCTCCTTCTCCTCTTTTGAGATAGTCTCACTGTATAGTCCAAGCTGGCCTTAAACTCACTGTGTAGCCCTGGATGGCCTCAAACTCATGGTGATCCTCCTGCCTCAGCCTCCTGTACCATGCCTGGCTCTTTAGTTTCTTTTAATGATGTCTTATAGTTTCAGAGTATAGGTTTTACAAGTCTTTCGTTAAATTTATTCTTTTATAAAACCAGACACAGTAGTTTTGTTTGGTTTTTTTGGTACTGAGGATCAAACTCTGGTCCCTGCAGTTGCAAGGCAGGCAGCAGAACTACTGAGCTAAATTCCGGGCCCCCAGACACAGTAGTTTTATTTCTTCCTCTGACCTGCATGCTACCTTTTTTTCTTGTGTAACTGCTCTGACCTGACCCTCATACAATGCTGAGCAGAAGTGGGAGGGCAGGCCTGTCCACCTCTCCAGCTGTCCTCAATGTGTGTGATGTTAGTGTCATTTCCCTGGGTGCCCTTTATTAGGGTAAGGTTCCCTTCTATCCCTAGTTTATAAGTGTTGGATTTCATCAAAATGTATCTTCTACGTACATTGAGACGGTTGTGTATTTTTTCATTAAAGAACAAACTCTTTCTTTGCGGGGCGCTATGGGCCCCCAAGGTGGCAGGCTGGGTGCTCCTCGGGGCTCAGCTTAGGCCTTCATGTGGGAAAATCCACTTTAGCCCCCAGTTTTCTCAAGATACAGATTGTTTGGTGCAGTTTTTATTTCAACACTTTACAACTGTGGTTCCACTTCCTTCTGGCCCCACAGTTGTTGGAGTTGTTCCCTGACAGGAAGCACATCGCTTTTCTCTGGCTGCTCTTAGGGAATTTTAGGTCTCCTGTTTTCTGCCCACAGTCGGTACAGCTCAAGTCTCAGGGTGCCTCCACATCCAGGAAGAGCAGCACCAGGAGAGGGAACCTGACCGCTGCTGGTGGGGATGAGTCCCGGCTCGATGTCATGCCTGGGGGGATGTCTGTGGGTCCCAGCACTCGCTTCCCTTGCTGGTCCCTCTGCTGCTCAAACCCTCCATGAGCAAATGCTTGTCAGGCTGCAGCGCTGGCTCAGAGGCCAGGTCTTGCCTCCCCTGCCTTCCCAACAACCCACAGGTGCAGCAAGGCCAGTAGGTCCCAGGCCTGGCAGTGCCACCCTGCCGGGCCTGTGCCTTGTTCTCACCTGAACCGTGGCCTCCAGGAAGCCCAGCGCCTGCTGCCTGCACACCTGCACGTGGCTAAAACATGATCACTTTGAGTTGGGTGGTGCCCACCCCGTGGGGACACAGAGCCACCTGTACCGTGTGCCCCATCCATGGCTCTGGTCCTTGCTGGCTCCGCAGCCGAGAGGTCACCCCCAGGGCTCACTGTCACCAAGTGAGACCTTTGTGTCCTGCCATTTCCACCCAAATGTGCTTTCTAAGGTTGTCCCTTCCTTGTACTCCTCCCAGAAAAGTTGTCCCCAGCATCCTGCCAGCTCCCTCCTTCTGGCATCACCCTCCTGCTGGGCCCCAGTCACAGTTGGACTAGTAATTCCTGGTGTGCTCAAGGGATAGAAGGTGGCTTGTGTCCCTGGGCAGACATGGCTTGCGTTGGGACAGGTGGAGTGCTGCTGGGAGGGATGGATGCCCTAGCTCACAGGATGTTCTTCCAATTCTGCTTAGGATGCCTGGCCAGCTGTGGGCAGGAGCGCCTCACAGCCAAGTCAAGTCTCCCTGCTCTCCTGTTGCCAGAGGCTGGACGGGGATTTGGCTGTTGCTCCCCACTCATGACCAGGGTTTTGGGACCTGAATGCAGGAGGCCTGGGCCTCCAGCCAGCTGGTCACAGGCTCCCTCCAGGGTCGCCGTGCAGAGCTGCACCAGAAGGGGGCTGCCAGGGCAGGGCCAGGAGGCCTGAGGAAGGCCCACCAGCGCCCCACCAGGTTGGGGAGGGCAATGCCGTGGAGCGGGGACACTTGGCAACAAACATTTCTGGATTCACACAGGACATGTGCACAGATGTATGCTGCAGACTTACATATGCACACTCACAGACCCACATGGAAGGATGGGACACTCATATACCCCCTGGCTCCCCTTGACACTGGACTGGTTTCCTTCCTGAGAGGCAGGTTTGTCCCACTGTGTTAAGAGTGACCAGGAAAAGTATGCCTGTAATCCTAGCACTCTGGGAGGCTGAAGCAGGAGGACTACAAGTTTGAGCCCAGCCTGGGCAACTTAGCAAGACCCTGTCTCAAAATAAAAATCTGAAAAAGGACTAAGGATGTAGCTCAGTGGCAGAGAGTTTGCCCGGCATGTGCAAGGCCCTGGGTTCAACCCTTAGTACCAGAGTGACCGGGAGAGGGATTGGGCTTCTTTTCGTGCCTCTGCACTAGCAGTGGAGGGCTGATGGGTCCACAGGGAGCCCTGGACCTCAAGGAGCCCACATGCTGCCAGCCCTTCCTCCCCCAGGCCTGACTTCTGCCCTTCACGCTGGCCCTGCTCAGCCCCCCACCCCCAGCCAGGGCCCTGGGTGCCAGCCGTTTATGGCCCTGTCACCTGAGCCCAGACCCGGCTGGTAGTTGTGTGGCTATTTTTAAGCCCGGCTCCTTGGCCTGCACCCCACCCCCACAGCTCGGCTCCTACTGGCCACCTGCCCCTGCCTGGCCCTCCCAGAATGCTGACTGGCAGTTGCTGGGGGTGAGGGCTGGGGCCGGGCAGATATAAAACTGGGGTGTGAGGGAGGCGGCTGTCCCCGTCTGGAGCCTCAGTCCCCCTGCCAGCATGGCCACCCACCGCGTGGTCATGGTCCGCCACGGCGAGAGCTCCTGGAACCAGGAGAACCGTTTCTGTGGGTGGTTTGACGCTGAGCTGAGTGAGAAGGGGGCTGAGGAGGCCAAGAGGGGGGCCCTTGCCATCAAGGAGGCTGAGTTGGAGTTTGACATCTGCTACACATCGGTGCTGAAGCGGGCCATCCACACCCTCTGGACCATCCTGGACGGCACAGACCAGATGTGGCTGCCTGTGGTGCGCACCTGGCGCCTCAATGAGCGGCACTACGGTGGCCTCACGGGCCTCAACAAGGCCGAGACGGCCGCCGAGCATGGCGAGGAGCAGGTGAAGATCTGGAGGCGTTCCTTCGACATCCCGCCACCCCCCATGGCCGAGAAGCACCCCTACTACTCCGCCATCAGCAAGGTGGGCCGCTGGGAGGGCCCTGGGGAGCCACAGGGTCAGGAGCCCAGGGGGAACAGGGGGCCTGGTGTCCAGCCAGGGAGTGGCAGTGTTCCTGCACCCCCAGGACCGACGTTATGCGGGGCTGAAGCCGGGGGAGCTGCCCACCTGTGAGAGCCTCAAGGACACCATTGCCCGGGCCCTGCCCTTCTGGAATGAGGAGATCACCCCCCAGATCAAGACCGGAAAGAGGGTGCTCATCGCGGCCCACGGCAACAGCCTGCGGGGCATAGTCAAGCACCTGGAAGGTGAGTCCACCCTCGGGGACCAGTGGGGTGCTGCTGCCCAGCCTCTCCTCTACACAGCCCCCACAGCATAGGAAGGCAGCTTAGCAGATGTTGAGCAAGGCCCAGGACTGAGTGGGTCAAGACCATTTAAGAAACAGATCTGTGGGCCAGGGATTTAGCTCAGTGGTTTTGCCGCCTGCTGCGTAAGCTCAATGACCTGAGTTTGATCCTCGGTTACCAAAAAACCCCCACCAAATCTGTAACTTGTTGGTTTCCATGGGGTGCGCTGCAGGAGATGGGGCCTGGCTGCTGGGGAGCTGAGTGGAGGGGGTGGAAGGTGGTGTCCAGCCCAAGGACACCAGAAGGGCCAGGCCTGGGCCCTGGCTCCAAGTCCTGGAGCTTGTGGGGCTCCTCCCTGGACTGTCCGCCTCTGAGTGTGGGGTTCATCCTGAGCAGGGCCCTGCCCTCACAGGCCAGAGGTATGGAGCAGCAGAAGACTCCAGGTTTAAAGTGGGGCTCCCACCAAAGAGTAAGGAGGGCTGATAAATGGGCTCAGGGCCAAGAGGCACGAGGAACCCTGAGTGTTCTTCACTGGGACTCATACAGGGCTGTCTAGATGAGCCCGAGTGACCTTCAGCCTGCTAGGACTACGAGGAGGGAAGTGAGGTGCCCCAGACCTGGCCTAGGGGACTGGCAGGGAAACACTGGCCACCTGGCTGGGGACCCCGGGGTGCAAGCGACACCTCACCTTCTCTTCTGGGGGAAGAGGCCCAATGGCAGGTGTGACTTCAGAGCGAGTGGGGTGTCCCTGCTGCTCCTCTCCAGGGAGCATTCCCAAGGCCTCCGGCTCAGGGAGGGTGGGGTGGTGCCAGTAGCAAAGGTTGAGCTGCTATTCCGAGCGGGGGCTGCCGGGGCAGGCAGGTCAAGTTTCCACCACTCTCCTGCTCTGAACTTGAAACGGAATGGCTCATATCCCTCTCAGCCTGGCCACTTCACATGGGGCTGAGACCCAGGCAGCACCAGCACAGGTCACAGCTACTGCTGATGGTGAGGTCTGGTCCTGGCCCGGGCTGTTTGTTTCTGCGGCCCTGCTCTCAGGACTGGGTAGGCACCACGAGGGCACATCCCTTTGGCCCCCAAAGCCATGGCATCCGCTGCATGGCTAAGGGTGCTCCCTGGGTACAGGGATGTCAGACCAGGCCATCATGGAGCTGAACCTGCCCACGGGGATCCCCATCGTGTACGAGCTGGACCAGGCGCTGAAGCCCACCAAGCCCATGCGGTTCCTGGGAGACAAGGAAACAGTGCGGAAGGCCATGGAGGCTGTGGCTGCCCAGGGCAAGGCCAAATGAGGGTGGTGCAGGCAATAAAACATCTCTGCACATGTCTCAAGTCCCTCATGGCCAGGCATGCCAGGGTCATGGCCTGCCCAGCCTTCGCCATGAACTAGGGACTCCAGCTACCCCACACCCACATCACTATGGCAGTAGCGTGACCAGCCCTAACCCACAGCCAGACGCTGCTTCCTTCAGAGAATGCCCCACCCTGTGGGGACAGGTGAGCCTGCAACAGCCTCGACTCACAGGGCCTTCGGTCCTCGGGAGAAGCCTGAGGGGTGGCAGGATGGGGAAGGCTGGGTTTGGGACTGCCGGGGATCCACCTGCACCACCCGCTGGGCTGCACAAGGTGAGGAGACTGTGACTTCAGTCACACCCTAAGGTCCATGCCTCTTCTCGTGGCTCACCAGCCACAGAGGTGAAGGTACCTGCTTGCACACACCCTGGAACACACCCCCAGGGACACGATGGATGTAGCCCCCAGGTGGGTTTGTTCCCACCTGGCTGTCCAGGTGACAGCAGGGCAGGGCTGACCCGGGGCCTGGGGACCACACTGCAATTCTTAGATTTGTTTGTCAGACACTTGGATGGGCTGGGGCAGAAAACGGGAGGCTGAAGGCATGGGCCATCGTGTTCCTTTCCCTGAATCCAACAGCAGCTGAGAGGCGCACACGGGCCAGCAGACGTGGAGTGAGCCACACGGAAGGACACGCTGTGTCTTTCTGATTTTTCACACACCCAGAGAAGCCTGGTCTTTCCACTCCACTTCCCATGGCCCAGACACAGGTACAGAGAAATGGAGTGAGGCAGAGTGTGCTCAGCAAGGCTACCTCCCTGCTCGCCGAAGTCACAGTCCACTCAGACTTTGGTCACACATCCTGCTAAAGGCAGTCCACTAAGTTCACTGTTCCCAAGGGTCATTCTAACAGCTGTAACCACCACCCCTCAGAGGCCAGAGGGAAAGAAAAAAGGCAAATATGAAGGCGGCCTCCAGATGCCCCTGCTCAAGAGTCCCTCAGCTCAGTGGCAGTCACTGTCCCTGGGCAGGGGTGACCCGGGAATGGCCACGGATGGGGCTGGCTCGGTCTCCCCAGAGCCTAGAGCCAGGCTGGTGGGGGCCTGGGAGGCTGCAGGAAGCTTGTCTGGGGATCACAGAGTTATTGCTGCTTCCAGGTGACAGAGGCTGAGCCACCCAGGCAGAGGGCGTCCTGAGGCCTCGTCCTCCTCAGGTCCCATCCTGAAGATGTCAAATGTTAGCTCTGGGGCCTCCTTTCCCCGGAACCAGGAAGCCTCAGTGGACGGGGACAGGGACCAGCTCCCCTCACTCAATGAGCTCCACGTAGTTGGCGGGGAACATGCCGAAGTGGCCGTCAGGGCCGAAGCCACGCCACCAGCCTTCATCGATCACCTCAATTCCCGTGATGAGGTTCTCAGGGTCAAAGGAGATCTCTGTGTCGTCGGCTGCAAGGAGGGCAACCCCAGGTGCTACACCAGGGCCTGTCCTCTTGGAAACGTCCCAATGCTGACCACCCCAGCACAGCCTCCTACAGGGTCTCCTTCCTGTCCCCAAGGCCTGCCCCTGAGAGAACATCGAGCCAGTGCCCAGGCCAGGCTCTCCCGTCTGGACGGGAGAGGGAAGGACGGCAAGTGTCTGCCAGGGCCAGGCTCACCACCCCCGCAGACAGGCTTCCACCCCTCGTCTCCTCCTCCTGACCCCCAGTGCTGATGCCCTGACACCCCCAGGAGCTCTTGCGGCTTGTGGTAGGGCACTCACCTGCCTGGTAGTCATACAGTGCCCGGGCACACAGCCCCTGCCCGGTGAGCGCCTGGCCCTGCATGTAGTGGTCAACATGCTCAGAGCCAGCACCTTGCTGTTCCACCTGTCAGAGTGAGAGGAGACGTCACCACAGGCTCAGGCCTCACCCAGGTCAGGCCGGGGGACAGGAGGCTCTGTAGGACCGGGGGGTGCGCTGCTCCCACACCCACAGCACAGCCACTTCCCCAAGCCAAAAGAGGGTGTGCAAATCCCTCCATCCATGCACTGCAGCAGCCACCCAGGCACTAGTCCACATGACTCGGCACGGGCTGTTCCGATGTCCAACGAGAACGCCTAAGTGCTGCCAACCCCGAAGTGTGCCATGGAAAACCCAGGCCTATGTGGGGCCCCTTGCTGCCCCTGCCAAGGGAACCCACCAGCGGCGGCTCCTCGTAGAGGGTCTCCTGAGCTGGGGGCTCCTCATACACGGCTTCCTCTTCTGCCTGCACCAGACACGGACGGGTGCTGGGCACTGGCTCCTCACAGACATCTGCATGGAGGACACAGCACGTCTGACCCTGCCCTCCCGCTACTTCCCTCCACCGTGTCCCTCCCAGGCCCCATGGGTGACAAGCGCCTTGCCTGCCCGGGGCCTTTCAGCAGCGGGAGCTGGCTCTCTGCTGAGTGACATCTCTGGCTGGGTGAGCTGCTTCTGCAGGAAGGGGCTCCTCAGCTTGCCTGCAAAACCGAATCCACTTTGAGAGCTGGGGATTTAGCTCAGTGGCACTGCACCTGCCTCACAAGTGCAAGGTCCTGAGTTCATCCCCAGTACCAAAACAAAACAGAACAGAACAGAACCACATCCACTTTGGAAACCCGCCCGCTTCCACAAGCATTCACCATGCACACTGGCCCACAGGGACCAGGGTGGTGAGCAGCAGCGCCACCAGTGAGCTCAAGGGCCCAGGCTGGCCTCCTTGCTCACTTGTCCCTCGTCACCCTCTCACTCGTGTCACCAGCCTTGAGGGCCCTGTCCAGGACTCCAGGTTTCCCCTCGCCCCTCCTCGTGTCTGAGCCCAGGGCGGGGTCCCACCTGGCTGCATGCTGGAGACAGAGGTGGTGGACATGGCCCTCTCCTTCTGCTTGAAAATCTCCCGTGGGTGTCTGGCCTGCAGCCCGGAGGACTCCTGGGGACCACAGCGACACCGCAGTGAGCTTCTCACCTCCCCGGCACCCCCCAGAAGGCAAACCTCGAAGGCTGGGGTGAGGAGGGAGCCAAGGGGCCAACTGGGCCACGCTGGATGAGGCACCCCAGCTCTCCCGCCACTGGCACCTCTGATGTCCCATGTGCACCCCAGTCTGCTGCATGGGTCTGGGCCGAGTGCTGACCTGAGACACGATGAGAATGGGTCCCGACTCCCAAGATCCAGGCCCAAAGGCCCATGCACAGACTCACCCGGTCCTCTCTGTTCCTCGAAGCCACTTCCTGGGGCTGCTCACACGTCCTGCTGGGAAGGACCAGGGTGCAGGCAGCTGAAGCGCTTGGTCCCCCTACCTTGAGGGACTAAGCGAGCACTGGGATGCTCAGGGCAGCCCCCAGGGCAGCCTCCCACCCCAGCAGCCAGGCACAGTGGGGCTCACCTCTGGGGCCCTGCTCCACTGTGCTGCTCTTGGTAGCGCTGTTCCCGGCGGGTGGCCTCCTGCAGCTCCCGCTCCCTGCACTCCTGTTCCAGCCGCCGCTGCTCCTCCTCAGCCCGGCGCTTCTCCTCCAGCCGCCGGTTCTCCTCCTCCTTCTGCAGGGACAGCAGCCCACTCAGCATGTGCTGGCCCCTGGCCTCACAGGTATGGGATGAGGGGGACACCACAGCCTAGTGGTCACCTGCCCTGTGACTCAGCTGAGCCAGCTGCACACGGCCCGGCTGAGCAGAATGCTGTCAGGGCCCCAGCCCCAGCACTCACCTCAGCTTTGGCCCAGAAGCTATCCTTGCCAACCCTCTTGATCTCAGACATGGCATTAGTCTTCTGGTACACAGAGCCCTGTTGACACAGAGCACATGCAAGGGCCCCAGCCAGCGGGGAGGGCCAGCCCCAGGCCCGGAAGGCACAGTGCCGCCTGCCCACCACCCTCAAGGAGACGGCACTGCAAAGTCCAGGAGAGGCTAGGAAACTGCCCGGCAGGGAGCCGAATCCTGATACTGGAGGCCCCTCCAGTGGCAGCCAGACGGCATGCATGGGGGCCAGGGCAGGATAGGCCCTGTCTGCAGGTGGCTCTGAGCCAGGCTTCTACCAGGCCACTCCTCCGACAGCTCACTGGCAGGGCCACACCCACAGGAATCACCACAGGCCCTGACTGCATGTCTCACACCGTGGTTTCTGGCTGGCTGTCGGCTCTACCCAGTGCCAGAGCTGCAAGCTGGCAGGTGTCTCCCCACATTCAGAGGGCCTCTGGATTTGTGCTCTGCTCTGACAACCCCTGAAGTTATGCCATGTAGCTAATGCCAGGGGCCACCCAGGTCCTGGCTGTGCGTTCCAGGGTCACAGCCACCCTGCCCACACATGGCTGGGTCTTGACAGGGCTCCAGAACACCTGGTACAACCACCAGGTGGGGTTGGTGCCCACTGGGGCTTGGATCCCCATCTGTGGAAGCCAGGTAAGAGGGCCAGTGATGGGTGGCAGCACTCACCACTGGGGCCTGGGGGCCTGTGTCCTGGAAGCGGCCACTCTCCCTGTGGAAGTTGTAGTTGGCCCCGGAGGCCTTGGCCACCTTCTCCATGATGCACTCGGGCTCCACATCCTCCTCAGCCCGCGCGTTGATGGTCACATGGGCCCCCTGAAGAGGGAGCAGCACTCAGAAGACAGCTTTGTGAGCCCGGGGAAGACAGGCTTGGTTCCTTCTGTCCACACAGCACGGGCCCCTGCACTCAGGCTGAGGTTGGAGACCTGGGGTGCCTGTATAGCTTCTGGGAATCACACCCTGCCCTGGGCTGCAGATGCTGTGCAGGTTTTGCTGTTGTTCAGCAGCCACCAGGCAGCTGCACAAAAAGCCTCCCTTCTGTCGGTGCACATCATTTAAGGGGCCTCCTGGAAATAGGCATTTTCTACAAAAGCAAGTCACTCATTTCTTCCTGAGAAGCACACCATGACCTCATTCACTGCTCCTATGGAAGCCTGGAGGCCTTGCTGGGGCTCAGCAGTAGAGCATGTGGCTAGTACACAGGGGGCCTTGGGTTCTGTTCAGCACTGGAAAAGAAGCAAAAAACCAAAACCAAAACCAAAAACAAAAAAAACACTGACAAGAAGTACAGAAGCCTCTCTTCCAGCTACTAGATGGAAAAACTGAGGCTATCTGAAGACAGCAGCAGACCGCAGGATCAGCGTCTCCCTGCAGTAACTGAGGGAAGACAGAAAGCCACCTGAGCAGTGAACTACGAATGACTTCTGACAAAAATGCTTTTGAAATTGAATCCTAGTGCCACTGTGGGACACTTGCCATGAATACTTGCAGAGACAGACTGGACAGGAACCCACCAAAGAGATGCAGTAACCTCGGTCTTTCTCCAAGACCTGACAATGTCACTGGACTGTTTAGATGGATCACAGACAAAACAGAACCAGTCCCAGCCTTGCCCACTGGGTCAGCTCCAGCGCGGCCCTTCACCCTGCTCTGCTGAGGAGTCCTGCTCTGGACACTTCCCTGCCTCCTGTGCCCCTGCCAACCCGAGGACCAGAGGGAAGCCAGTGCTGTGGGCTCACTCCTCATCCCAGCTCATTCGTGCCATGGAACCTAGGGTATCTGATCCCTCCAGGTCCTCACCTTGAGGAAGCTGGCCATGGTGCTGACGTGATTGGCGCATGCTCCCTTCCGCACGTCATTCACGCCCTCTCCCGTCTGCAACATAAGCACACCCAGCATGAGCCAGGCCTCCTCCCAAAGCCACTTCCCCTCCCACAAGTTCCCAACGACCCAGCAGCCCGTCTCCCCCAAGAGAAACCCTCCCAAAGCAGAAGCCATGAGAAACACTCCCAAAGCAGAAGCCACTCTCCGGACCCCATCACAGATGAGATGGCCCTCCCACTTCCAAGCAGAGCAGGGACTCTCTGGGGCCACGTGGCTGCTCGTGTACACTGTGGAGTGTTTCTTCAGCCTTCCCAGCCCCCAGGGGCTTGTGCTCTGTGGGTTCCCCTGACTCTGCAGTCTGCCAGGCCCTCTGTACCCTAACCCAAGGGAATGGGGCAGTAATTTCCCATGACCTTTTTTACTCCTTTTTGAAGGAATAATTCTGGCTTGGAGGGTGAATTCTGTGTAGTAACAGCAGTTATTCTTTTGTTGTTGTTTGTGACAAGGTCTCACTATGTACTTTAGGTTGGCTTTGAACTCTACATGCATAGCCCAGCCCAGGTGAGCATCCTCCCTCAGCCTCTCAAGAGCTGGGATTCCAGGCATGAATAACCATGCCCAGCTCTAACACCAGTTATTCTTCAGGCAACAAAGAATTCACTGTCTATTCTGCTCATTTTCCAGCTCAGAGGTTTCTATTATCTACTAAGTCCCGCCAAGTTCCTGAAGTCAAGTCAAACCAGGAGCAGACAGGGACTTTCCCAGGTCACATGAGATAAGACAGGACAGGTCCACGTACCCAGTTGATGAGGACAAACTTGGGCAGGCCAGAGTTGGGGTCCTTCACCCTGCAGAAAGCGTACATCACCTTCCCGCTGTTGAGCTCCTCCACCAGCTCCTCCAGGCCACCCTCTGCAGAGTCACAGCGAGGGTCAGCAAGGCTGTGCCCCCTGGCTGCCAGGTGCCAGCCACCTTTCCACCAGGGTTTCTCACCCCACCTACTTCAGAACCACCCTGGGGCTGGGCAGTAGCAGTGGCAGAGCACTTGCCCGTGATGCTCAACACCCCACATGCCATCCTCAGTGCAGCAAAAAATGAAATCAGACTCCTGGCTCCCAGCTGGTGGGACCCAGGAATTTGCTTTGCTGACAAGTTTCAGTCACACTCGTTTAAAACCACTCCTCTAAACCCTCAAATATCTGCAAACAGAAGAGAAATGTCATTTCCACTAGACCGGCTACAGACTTGCAAATGGCTCTTCACATCAGCTGTGCTGGCACCTGGACCCCTGAAGAGCCGAGGACATGCATGTCCTCCAGGCATCAGGGCCATCCCAAGGCCTGGACCTTTTGAAGTGTCCTTCAGCTGACACCACTCTCCCTTGCCATGGGCTGTGGCCCCTGGGCCTCCCCACTTCAAGGAGCCGGGCAGGAGCGGAGCTGTGGGCTGCACAGGCCCTGGTGCTGTGCACGTGCTGCACCCAAAGCAGAGTCCAGTGTGGTGCCACCAGGACAAGAGCAGGAGACCCAGACTGCTGAGCCCTGTGGTTCCCAGGCAGCCACCATGTCAGGTGAGAGGACCATTCAATGCAATCCCTCTAGAAAGAGGCAGAGGCCGGCAGAAGAGCTTGCAGAGGAAGGGGCTTCCTATCAACAGCAACAGTAAAATCACACTTGTCTGGCCAAGCAGAGAACGTTCTAGGCACTCATGGAACAGTGAGACCAGGTCCTGCTCGGTACCAGGAGTGGGGTGGGCCAGGTGTGAGCTTCAGCCTGGAAGGAACCAGGGGAACCAGCTGGGGTGTGCAGGTCACATCCCACCATCTCAGGCTCAGCCTATCTGCCAGCTTCTGCCCAGTGGCAGAGACCCCCCTCCCAAGAACCCCCATTAGGGTCCCTCTGGCCACCTGCAGGGATACAGCCTCTCTCCAGGGAGGTCTGGGGCCCTGCATGCACTTGCAACACAGCCAGGGCAGGACACGACTGTGGGCCTTCCCCACTTGTGCCAGCTCTGAGACTGGCATCCTCCAGTTACAGCCCAAGACCCAGGCTGTCCGTGAGCCAGAGAGGGTTGGCTGCTTCCCCTTGGCCCTCTCCATGAACCTGGGAGACAGCAGCACTGCCCTGTGCCAGGCCAGGAGACCTGAAGGAGAATGTGTGTTTCTCTCACAAACACCTGAAAGTTAGAGCTTGCCAGAACCGGCCTGTGTTACCCAGGGCTCTGGCGAAGCCTGCCTGGTGCCAGTCTACATCCCCACAGGGGGCCAAGGAACCCTCAGTGGTGCTGACGTAGGGTGGGGCTGTGGGTGTCAGGCACAGAGCTGCCCACCCTCCTACAGGGAGGCGTCCCTAGTTGAGCCACATGCAGGGAACACTTGCATTCCTGAGTCCCCTCTGTCCTGCTGCTATGGCTAAATTCCAGATGAGAGGGACTGGTGACTCTCAAAACGCTCTCCCCTTCCTGCTGCTTACCCTCCTGCCTCCTGGGGCTGAGCCCACTTGGGCCATACTCACCCCCAGTGCTGGCCACACGGATGTCATTGCTGTTGCCCTCATAGGTAAAGAGAGCCCTGAAACAAAACACAAGCTGGGTCAGGGCCAGGTGGCTCTGTCAGCCATCACTGCAGTGAGGCACCAGACACACGCCCTGCTCTGCCTTGCTGGAACTTGCAGGGCAGGTTCTGGGGCAGGTTCTGGGTGGATGCTCTGCAGCTGACTACCCTGGAGCAGGCGAGCTGTGAGGGACAAAGCCAGGAGATGTGAGGCACACAGCCACTTAGAGAAAAACGTCAGCTGTGGAGTTTTGCAATGACTTTCTACACATTCCCCAAGTGAGATGCTCATCTGGCTACCAGGTGTAGGAGTTTGAAAGACAAAAGATGCCTCCATGCACCTGATCCCAAAGCACCCCTACGGAGGAGGAGGAGGAAGAGCAGGAGAAAGACACATGGGCTGCCTGTCAGCCTTCCCCCCCTCCCTTTTTTTTGGTACCGGGGATCGAACTCAGGACCTTGCGCTTGTGAAGGAGGCGGCGGAACCACTGAGCTAAATCCCTGGCCCTGGGCCCCTCTCTCTTTTTGCAGTACTAGGGATGGAACCCAGGGCCTGTCTCAAAAAACGAAAAAATGGGACAGGAATTTAGCTCAGTGGCATTGCACCTGCTTCTGGACCCATGCCACTGGGCAACGTGTACGCCTGAGAAAGACCAAAGAAATGAGACCTGGTCAGTAGGTAGAGATAGGCCACATCTTCCTCCTCTGATGCTCTCTACTGCTTTTTCTATATGCTCGGTCCATCCTTTATCTGAGCATGCATGACACGTAACAACTCATACTAGAGCCAGGAGTCAGAGATAGAGCCCACTAAATTCCTTCTAGTAGATTAAAGGTGACAAGAAAACCCAGGAGAATTTCTGGCATGTGTCCAGTAAACCTCTGAAGGAACTGAAACAAGATCAGGGAAAGGTGACTGCAGCCTGGATTCCCAGGAATGCAGGAAGGCAACCTCAGAGCAGAGGTGTGAAGGCCAGGGAGCCACCTGCATGATGTGGAAGTGTGCCCCAAGCAGAGGGAACTACAAGGGTAAGGACTCCGAGGAGGAACTAGCGTGTTTGAGGAAGAGAAAGATGGTGGCAAACAGGTGTGGCCACAGTGTGGCAAGCAGGAGGGGCAGAGGGAACAAGGTCACGCAGGGCAAGGCAGCAGTAGTGTGAGCACCCTGGGCTTTATGTAATGTGCAACAGGAAGCCACTGCAGAGTTACGGGCAGAGAAGTGAGATGGTCCAGATACTTCTCAGTGAGTGGGGACCTGCCAAACCCTCTGCTGAGGAACTACTTCAATGGCTGTGACAACGAGGCTGGAGGCCAAGGGCTGAGCAGGAATCCCGCAGAGTTGCAGGAGCCTGAGGGTGGGGAGAGGACCGCATGGCTGTCAGGCAATGAGTATGGTAGCAGAGCTCAGCAGCCAGCCCGGGTGGCAGCAGGAAGCTCTGCTAAGAAGCCCAAGGAAAGGCTAGGAACATGGGAGGCCTGCACTGTCAGCTGGCTGTGGGGCATCATCCCCAAACCAGAGACGGTTCCTGAGAAGCCTGAAGTGCCAGGGAGGTGCAGAGGAGACGAGAAAGCACCCAGACAAAGGGAGGTGGCTGATCACAGCAGCAGAGCCTTGCTGGGCAACAGGAAGAGGCCCCACAAGGACGGTGCTGGCCACAGGGTGGTCCCTCCATGGCTCTACCTCCAAGATCCCTTTTCTATTCTCCAGGGTTGGTTCCAGTAATCCATCCTACTCAGCACATTTCTCAGAACTGGAGTGCTAAAACTGTTCAATGAAAACAATTTAACCAGTGGGAAAGTGAAAGAGAATTACCATATACACACCCAAGCGTGCTGCAGAGAGCTGATTTGCCAGGGGGCTGCCCAGGGTTACCCCAGAAACCAGATCCAGGCTCCTGCTACTGCAAGCTCCAGTAGCTGCACGACAAGACCTACACCCTGCCCCACAGCCTAGAAGATGTCCTGGGCTGGAGAAGGGAAGATGAAACCTTTTCATGAACAGGTGGCCAGCATACTACTTTCATCTTCCCATGACTCAGACACAGGAAAGAGAAACCGAGGTCCTCACACTCACATTCACAGAGGACCTGGCACCCAGCCCCCTGGCCTCTTTGTCAACCTCCAGGGCAAGCTCCTGTCCCCAGCCGGGGGTCGGGACGCAGAGAAGGCCCATCCCCGAATGCAGCCCCGCCTGGAAGGCAGGGGACTATCTCCGCCTTCGGGGGACGGGGGGCTGCGGAGGTCCACTTTTCTTGGGAAGTCCCGGGCTGAAAAGACCTGGTAAGGCCGACAGGCACCAACGGGCCAAGCATTTACCCCGAGCCCCTGGCGCGCGGCGACCAGGGTGGCTCAGCACCTCGCTGGCGCGGGGCGGGCAGGAGGGGACCCCCCGCGCCACCCGCACCTCCTCCCCCTCTGCCCGCGGCCCACCAGTCCGTCGGCGATTTCTCGTCGACCACCCGCCCGTAGGCCTCCTGCAGCGCCGGCCCGTTCCGGCTCAGGTTCGCCGCCATGGTCCGCCCCGCGGTCCCTGAGCCACAGCTGCGGTAGCTTTCGGGCCGGCCTCCCGTGACGGCCGGAAGCCCCGCCCCATAGCCGGAAGCCTCGCCTCTGACGATCGGAAGCCCCGCCCCCGAAACCGGAAGCCGATGTAGAGGCGGGGCGGTCAGTGGGTCTTTAGTCCAGGTTCGGCTGGTCGGCCGGGTCGGGGTACTCACACGCTCCGTTCTAATTGTCACAGCTTTTTTGTTTGTTTGTTTGTTTTGGTACCGGAGATCGAACTCGGGTCCTTGCGCTTGCGCAGGAGGCGGCGAGACCACTGAGCTAAATCCCCGGCCCAGTCACAGTTAAAGCACTTTGAGACATCTCAGATTCACCAGTCTTCCTCCGGACCGGATCTTCCGAGCCGGTGTTGTGGACCCTCATCAGAAGTCTGATCTATGAATAAACCGTGCATACATTAATGGATACACGAATAAATAAATGAATGCTAAGTGACGGTCGAACCGATACAAACTTAACAAAGCGCTCTTGTGGTTCCTTGCTTTTTTTTCCCCCTGAACAGTTTGATTGAGGCCAGGTAGTGGATAGAAGGCAACCCACGCCCTGCGTCACCTCCAGATGGGGATGGCTGCCTACCAGGAAGGAAGGGGCCCATGTTGCCCCAATCTGGGAGCGCCAGTTCTTTCCATCCACAAATGGGGCAGCACTTTCATTTTCCCCCCTACCTGAAGAGAAAAGGGCCAAGACAGAAGGCAGCTCAACACTTCCTGGCCATTGAGAAACAACTCCATCTCCTTGTCCTCCAGTGCGCATCCTGGGATCCCAGGACCTCCAGGAGGTCTGGGGGCACGTTGCAACATTTCAGTCAACCAGAGGAGAGCCTACCCTTGGTATAGGACATCCGCAGGAACTTGTTTCAATGATAATGGAAATTAAGACAACAAATTTATAGACAAAAGCTTTGAGAGGATGAGAGAATGGGGAAAGGGCTTCCTCTTTTGGAGGAGAATAACTGAAGAGGATGCAGGTCTGAGGGAGATCAGACCGGCCGGTTAACAAAAGAATGGGTCTAGCTTTTATGGCTTCCCCGAGCCAGGCTAAAAGCTGGTAACTTTCCATTGGGTCATGAGTATGATTTTTTTTTCTCTTTTCCTTCATATTTTACAGTATTTCTTTATAATGTGAAATATGTATTAGCAGCTATATTTATTTTAATGATAAGAAAAGGGGATAAGGGGAGGATGCATTCCATACATTATTAATAAGGACAAACAGGGAGAAAGAGATGTCTCCACCTTTAGTGGATAACATCATAGATTAAGGTCTGAGAATCCATGTCTCCATGCTCCTATGTTACCCTTACTGGAAATCAGGTTGTTCAGGTCAAAGGAGCAGGTCCTGTTCTGAAATTATATCAGTGTGGTGACTAGACTCATCCATGCTGAGGGAAAGGCAGGAAAACTCAGGCTACATGGAGAGGAGGCTGAAGGGTGTCTGGTGGTGGCAAGCAGGGGTGCACATGGCTTCCTCCTGCTCCAGTATGTGAGGACCTGATTCAGCCTAGCACACTGCAAGGGCTCCATCAATAGTTTGATGCCACTTAACATAATTAGCAATTATGATGGCCAGTTGGCAGGGACAATCTTCCCTGCAGAACCAGTCCCTGGAGATGGGAATAGACTGGGCTGGGGGCAGCAGAGTGAGAGGCAGGCCCCATGAGGCAGCTCTGCTGTTGCCCACCAACATGCTGCCTGGCTGAGGTGCTTCCCTTGAGGACACCTTCAGCTGTTGCAGGCAGCTGGGGGCCATCAAGCACACCTGTCTGGAGGTTGGGGCTTTGGGTAAACCAGGAAGCAGACATATTTTTAAGGAAAACTGAGGAAGGCACTGGCTGGCCTTGCAGATTCTTGGTAGCTTTGTTGTTGTTGTTTTAAATAAAATCTGTGAACAGAGAAAAACCGGGTTGTAGAGACAATGAAACCAGAAAACTGACCTCAAGGAGTGAACAGCAAGTCCTTCCTCCTCTCAAAGGGAATGCTGCTTAGGAGGGACTATTCCTCCTTTCTGCAGGGCATTAATTAGGCTGCTGTCTAGGGTTGCTGGCAGCCACATCCTTCACTTTCCAGAGCACCAGCATTCATAGCTAGATGCAGAACTGGTCCAGCCCTTATCCAGCACTGCAAGGGAGGAAGTATGTGCCAGTCAAAGAGCCAGCCATGAGAAGGGAGGAGAGATAAGTGACTTTGAGCTAAACTCAAGACTCCTTCTCTGCCCCTTTCAGTACCATGGACAGACCCTGGACAGGAATTCTGCAGATGAGGCCTAAAGCACCTCTTACACCCAGGGAGGCTTTCTCTTGAATTGCAGACAGAAATCTAGCCATTCTTGAGCAACTGCAGTGAGGCAGTGTGGAATTCTATGGTGCTGATAGACTGCTCTGCTATGAGCTACCAGGCCTGGTGGACACTTTGTTCCGGCATTTTAATCCTTTGCCATGGATTTTGACCTTTGTCATGTTCCTGGACCTCCTGGCCCTTCCTGGAGCCTGACAAAGGATCCAAACCTCAGCTCCACTGAATAAACTCAGAAGCTTCTGAGAACGTTAATAGTTGATCCAACATAGATCAATTGTTTAAAATCACCCACCTTTCTGATCATTCTGATTCACAGAGGAAAAACATCACATTATTCCCAGCTGGATTGTGTGTGGGGGTGTGTGAGTGTTTTGTTTTTTGGGTTTTTTTGGTACCAGGGATTGAACTCGGGTCCTTGCACTTGCCAGGCAGGCAGCAGAACCACTGAGCTAAATCCCCACCATGTATGTATGGAGACAGGGTCTCAGTAATTCAGGCTGGCCTTGAACTCATGGGTATCCTCCTGCCTCAGCCTCCTCCTGAGTGCTGGGATTAGTGTGTGCCACCATGCATGGTCCAGTTGGCTTTTTAGAACTGCTGTCCAGTTGCTGATCTGGGCCATGCCTTGGAAGCATGGGGTCTACAGATGTGGGTTACCAGGGAGCCACCTACACCAAGGTTCATCCTAGAAAGATTCTACCTAAGGAGCTTGTTCTTTCGGGTGACTCAAGTCCTGGAAAGCATGAAAAGGGGGTGACTTTCCCAGTGGAGAAAATAGGATTTGCTGGGGGACAAGACAGTCTGAGGGGTCTGGGAGGTACAAAGTCTACTTTAGGCTTGCAATGAGGGATTGAAAATTTGTACTAGAGATTCCCAAGGCCTGGTTTTACTTTTTCACTACATATTTCTGGCAGAAAGGACAGGCTTGGGGGAATTTTGACTGACTTCAGAAAATCCATGGTGTTTTGTTTTTTTTTTAAGTTACAATCCATATGCTTGAAAGAGCAGCATAGAGACAGATACAGCACCAGCAGCAATCTAGGCCTGGATTTTCCCCTCTGACCAGTCTGTAATGAGCAGCAGGACTCCCCTCCCACCCCATGAGTCACATCTGCAAAGTGCTGTGTGTGCTGAGCTGAGGTGTGTGATCTCACAGACCACATGGCAGCTGCTCTGCAGAGCCTGGCTGACAGCCCCTGGAGGACACCTCTCCCTCTGTATTAAGGGTTTGGGGGGGATTTCAAAGCCATCCTCCACACAGTGAGGAGGAAATGACAAAGGCCACAGGACCCCAGAAGGCCTTATGAGGACTGTCCATGGGAACCTCCATGAACAAGCGCAGATTGGGCTCACTCTGCCTTGCCCTTTGCCCATGGCAGTGATGTTGTGCACAGCTTCAGAATGGTATTCTGGCAATAAGGTCACAGCTGTAACCTGGGAGTTTCTGGAGTCAACCTTCCGGGGTCACCTTGACTGACCCCCAGTGCTAGATCTGTAGATTTTTTTTCTTCACTTGTAAAGGCCATGCCTGACCTTTTGGTTGCCTAGTTTTCTTCTTCTCTGTTTCACCAAAGAATCAATCCCTGGGAGCAGAACAGCTTTATAACCGACTCAGCAAAGACTAGGTTGAACTTGGCTTTAGAGATTTAAAGTCCCTCAACTTTCTTCCCTCTTTGGAGGCTTCATTAGAAATCTCCTGCCTTTTCTGAGTTAAACTAATCTCAAGGCTCTGAGCTCTACAGGCAAACCTGGAAATATATTCTAGCAGAAAGCCAAGCAGGGAAGCCAGGCACCCAACAGGCTACTCTAATAAGGCCCTCAAGAACCTGTTAAGTCTCCCTATATTCCAGTCTACTTGACAGAAAAACGGATACTTAAATGTCAATTATCACTGAGTTGAGGAAACTGCATTTTTATTTTTTATTTTTTTGGTACTGGGGATTGAACTCGGGACCTTGCAAGGCAGGTGCCAGAACCACTGAACTACATCCCCGGCCCAAAATTGCATTTTTATTTACATTTGAAAGTCTCTCCCAGTATTTGTGTTCTCATCTGCGAATGGCTTACACTTGGACTTTGTGTAGATTCCTGGCAGGAGGAATAGGGGTGGGGAATCCTCATCACATACAAGAGAATCATCCAAATCATTCCAGGTTTCATAATTTTGCTCTTGCTTCTAAAAAATACAGTCACCTCTCATGGAGTGTTATATGCTTTATATCCTGACATCTCCCATTTGCTGCTTCTTGGTGTGAGGAGAGAAATGCACTGCGTGGACCTGCAGAGGAAGGCAGTGGAAGACAGCAGAAGCCACAGGAGGAGGCCTCTGTTTTCCAGCAACACTGTCCCAATTCCCGGGAGCCTCCAGGTGAGGCAGACTCCTCAGGACATGGTTCTGTGGCTGACAGGATGTGAAGGAAGCCCACTCTGCCCTGGGTACCCAGGATGGCTCTGAGTTCTAAAGCCAAAGGGCACATGGTGGGGGGCCAGGCTGGGCTCCACCTGGTGCCACAGCGTGCGGTGGCACTGTTGAGAGGTGTGTGGGACCCTGTCCTCCAGAGAGAGCAGATGACAGGGGTCAGACAGACTGGTTTTAGTGTAACCAGGAAGGCTGTGGATCGTAACAATGGCTGCCGATTTGGCATCAAAGAGGTGACACTGTCAAAGCCACAGTGGCTGAGAGTGGCACCGACATGCTGCAGCCAGACAGAGGGAGTGGCCAAGGCATGTGTGACGAACGATGAAGCTCAGTGAGTGGTGCAGCTGACGGCTCAGCTTCACAGGGAGGCGTGGGCCTGGCAGGCAAGCTTGTCCCGCAAAACCTCCAAGACACTTACATAGCATATTTCTGCGTCCATTCTTGTGCTAGTCTGTTGTACCTGGAAGAAAAAAGCAGAGGGAGTGACATCCTCACTGGCAATGGCCACGTCCCTGCACTGTGGAGCAGCATGGCTGATGTGGACAAATCCGCTGCTCAGCAGACATCCAGGAAAGACTCTCCTCAGAGCAGGAACTCTTTGGTCACAGCTGCAAGCCCCTTGCTCAGTGAGTCCTGCTGATCCCCTGTGCTGTGGAAGATGCAATAATGCGACAAACCTCCACACTCTCTCCTGAAACTTCAGGACGGGTGCAGGGAAGGAAGGAAGAGCACCCCAAGGCTCAGCTTGGAATGTTCCAGGCTGTCCCGAGCCACCTCTGAGCTGGTCCACCTGCCCGTGGCCTGGCCTCCTGTTTACCACAGACAAACTGGGGAGGGCACACAAGGTGCAGGCCAGCTGCCCACTGAGGGCTGTGGCACATGCATTTTACCCTCACTACTGAGGATGGCTGGGACCATGGGACTGTAAATGAGAGGAATTTATAGAGAAGGCACTGAAAAAAAATCACTTTGTGATAAAATAACTTGTAACAAATGTTAAAAACAATACAATTTAAAATCTAATCAAATAAAATTCATTTTAACTGCTACCAGAAAACTTCAATGACAGAAATAGGATCTTTAAAGGTCTCAAGAAAAACTTAAGTTGGAAAAACCACATTCCACTCTCATCTCTTTAGTAAGGACATACTCCAGTCATTCCTTCCCTGGCACCTCCCTCTGGAACCCAGCACCACTCACAGGGCTGCAGCTCCTGCTGTCCAGCTCTGCCACACCCAGCCCTTTCCCCTGTGCTGTCAACACTCAGAAACTGGCACGTGCTGGTGCCCACTACACCTGCTCACCTACACCGGATGCTTCAGTGCACGTGGATGTGCTGGCTGGAGTCAGGGTTCTACGCTTCTGGGTCTGGAGATCAGTGTTCAAACCCAGAGCTGGCAGTGTGGGTCTACAGGTGAGGCAGCAGCTCCGCTCACTTCCAAGCACACCAGCAAACTGACCGAGCAGTGTGCCCCTCCTCGACTGGTTTTGGCCTCCCTCTAGGTCTGTGCAAACAGACAACCCCTCATTTTACGCCATAAACCTGAGAGTTTAATCCAGAATTTACTTGTCAGATTCTTCTGAGTTCATTCTTGGCCACTGACTTTGCTGTCCTGAGGGCAGGGCTTGCAACAGTATTTTAGGGTTCAGTAGTGGTATCTGATGAGCCACCCAGGAGGGTGAACTGCTTTTATCCCCTCTCCCTCCTCCGAGTCAAGGCACATAGCGAGAGCCAGGAGGCCGGGCTGGGACACACACTGCACAAGGGCGTGGCGTGGGCAGGAAGATGTCCATGGGAACCTGGGCAGTCATGGCACAAAGCAACCCAAAGAGTAGGCGTACTTCTCTCTGTCGGCCTTGTACGTGTGGGCTATTTCTGGCACCAGAGGGTCATCAGGATTGGGGTCACAGAGCAGAGAGCAGATGGACAAGAGAACTGGGGAGAAAAGAAAGAGTCAGTCAACTGTGGCCATGAGGCTGCAGGCCATCCTTGGGTATGGTGAACTTTCCCACACTCACGCTTTCTGTGGACCAGTCTGATGATTCTGCTCCCGTCATGAATTTGCCTTGCCCACACACCAGCTAGAGAGCAGTTTGCATTGTGGGCCTCACAGTGGGATCCCAGCACACTGCCCCAGTGTGGTCCCAACACTAACTCTCCCTTCTCGCCAAGGCCCCTGCAGTTCCAGCCTCTGTGAGCCCCAGCCCCAGTCTGGGCCCTACACCACACATCTCTGGTCCCAATAGCCCTTTTTGCTGGTAAGAGACAGGAGTTCAGAGAATCCAAGTAACTTCCAAGGTCACACACTGGAAACACTCAGGATGAGGGTAAAAATGAGATTCTGAACTGAGGCTATGATGCAAAGGCAACAGGCCCTCCTGCTCTCATGGGACATCCCTGGGACATACACGCGGCATAACATCAGGGGCCCTGGATGAAAGGGATCACCCTCCAGGGCTCGGTGAGGAGCAGAAGGAGCTTCGAGGACTATTTCTGCTTTGCTCTGGACCCACCATGACTCCAAACTGGCTCCAGTGAGTTCACTGAAGTCTCGAGGAGTTTCCCTACTGTTAAAGCTACAAACGGAAGGGGCAGGTCCCCTTTGCTTAAGAGACGATGCCTCGCTGTTCTGGGCTGAGGCTGTCCCTGGAAGGTGGAGGACTCCCCTCACCCCCCACCCCCCAGCCACTTTTCCTTCCACCCCACGGAGGGCCCTCCCTGCCACTCCACTTTCCACTCCCATTCCTGGCCCTGCACCTAAGGTGGCACTGGCCCTGGGTCCACTGGCCCCACTGCAGGCAGCCCCTGGAAGTTGGCAGAGTGTGATGCTGTCCCTGCTACACTTCTGGGCCTAAGGCAGCATGATGAGGCTGCTGCACACAAGGTTCCACTCAGAAGAGCAATCTCGGCAGGACGCTGGGCTGCATCCAGATGTGACTGGAACTTCCTCACAGTGCAAGGGCAGTAGCTCTGTCCCGAGTTCTCCATATCTGCTGCTGCACCCCTCTATCCTTCCAAAGCCGTCCCTGCAGCTGCCCCAGGTGCTTTGGTGGCCTCTCCTGGCTGCCCAGGGCTCTGCCATCTGCACTGCCTCATGCTCCACTCTATTTTTTGGGTTAAATTTTTTCACTATTCTACCATCTTCACCTGACAGGCTATGGTGCTTTCTATTCTCAGGACTTGAGTGTATACAACTCATGCTAAGCCCATCTTAGTTCAGAAGGAATATCTGCATTTCTTTTCTTTTTTTCCTTTTTGTTAATATCTGCATTTCTGGCTAGGTGTGATGGCACACACCAATAATCCCAGCACTTGGGAGGCTGAAGCAGGAGGATTGCCATGAGTTTAAGGCCAGCATGGGCTACATAGTGAGTTGTTTGTTTTGGGGTTTTTTTGGTACCAGGGGATCAAACTCAGGACCTTGTTCTTTTTAGGCAGGCAGCTCAGAACCACTGAGCTACATCCCTGGCCCTACATAGTAAGCAAGGCCAGCCTGAACTAAATAGCAAGACCCTGCCTCAAAAAAAAAAAAAAAATCTGCATTTCTACATTCTGCTTCAGCCTGGTCTCTTCAATCTCAACCAGAGACATTCCTCCTACATCAGCTGTGAGGCCCAGGAGGTAGGCCCTGGGTGTCTCCTTTCAGAGCTGACTCACAGTCTGTGTTGGTCCTTGCCAGATGAATGGGAAAGGAAAGCACAGAGAAGGTAGTATAATATTTCTCTCTCTAGGCAGGAAAGCTCTACCACTTAGTGCAAAAAAAAAAGTCTTGAGGTTCATGACCACCATCTAGTTAGCTGTTGTCTATTACATACCCAGCTTTCACTGAGGCCCGGAACCACTGAGCAGTGGCTGCTGCCTGCAAACCACAACCATTTCTCTGCAGGTCATCTGCTTGCCTATCTAATACCTCCTTCATGTGTCCAGACCTGGGGCTGCATCCTGCTGAGTCTGCCTAGGTTCTAGTCCTGATTTCCCCTTTGGATCTGTGTGCCCTTCCCTCTCTGGGCATCAGTGTGCCCAGGTACAGGCTGGGGGAAGCATACTACAGGATTTCCAAGGGCTCTGCCAGTGTAGTTCTGCTGTCATCTGATGGTGGTGGTATCCTGTCCCTCAGGAATGACCTGTCCTATAAAGAGCACCAGCACAGCATGGATTCCCCTCCCTTCTGAAGTCACTGGCTTAGGGCTCTTCTTCACAAAGGTATGGGGTGGAGGGGTCAGAGATACAGTTCCCTACCCTAAATGGCCTCCCTATGTCTATCTTCCCTACAGCCCAAACTCTCAGCTCTTTTGGTTATACATTTTATGCCAAATGAAAATACATTTCTGTCCTTTGCTAAAAACCATAATTTTTTGCCTTATGTATTTTACTGGGGATTAAACCCAAGGCCTTTGTACTGAGCCACATCTCCAGTCCTGTTTTTATTTATTTTTTATTTTGAGACAGGGTTTCAGTAAGTTGTTAAACTGCCCTGTCCGGGATCAAATTCTGGATCCTCCTGTCTCAGCGTCCCAGAGTGCTGGGATTACAGCCATGCACCACCACACCTGGCTCCCTTTCTGATACCAAGATAGAGTGTAAGTAGAGCTCTTTGCACCCATGTGGCGGTCCAGAGCATCCCACAGCAACTGGCTGCTGAGGACCACGAGGGTGCAGGGCACTGGGCTCCACTGATGTCCTCTCTCACAGTGTGGGGACATCGGTGGGCACAGGGCTGGATGGGGTGTGTGACCTGAGGAAGCTGCCTGCTCTCCCTGAGTCTCCATGTCCACTTAGTCAGCGAGGGAGTAAGAACATGGGAGACAGCAAGTGGAGCACGTGCCAGGGTCTCTACCTTTGGACACTGTCAGTGCTGGAGACCACTGTGACCGCAGGATGTCCAGGCAGATGCTGCCATTGCTGTTGATGTTGGGGTGATAGATTTTGGTTGTGAAAGCAACCTGCAGAGACAAGAGATCTGAGTCAGACAAGCCACAGAAACGTCTGAAAAACCAACCAAGTGAAGGGGAAGCAGCCACTGTTGGGCTGTACCAGGTGCCCCACGCTCCAACCCTCAAAGTCCCGGTGAGAGCCAATGTTCCCTCAACCCGATGGGACACCAGAAAGGCAACCCCACAAGTCTTTTGATCCATTTCCTGTTAGGTCCTCACTCTGAACATGGGAGGGATTGATATCATCTCCCCCGGAACAGTGTGCTCTGAGGCACAGCAAGGAGGATGGGGGAAAGAACTCAGAAGCCCAGAAGGTTCGTGCAGAAAATAATGATTCTAATTACAGATACGATGAGGAAATGGAGTCATTACAGGAAACAGCCAGATGAAATTCATTCCTCATCCTTTGCTTAACTACTAATTTTTGCCTGGCTTGCTTGGACAAAACTTCCTATTTCAGCCATCATCCGTGGTGGCTACACTCAAAGGCACAGATGTTGGGCTCATGTAAGCCACATCACCAGAAGATAAGCCCAGGCCACAGACCCCTGCTCTCACCTCTGTGTGTGTGGTGCTAGGTACTGAGCACATCATCTCATGCATGATAGAGAGGTAAGCTATCACCGAGCCACACCCTAGCCCTCTTACTTCACCCTTTGTAAGACACCCCCTTCTCAGAATTCATCCTTCAATTGCCCCTGTATGTTTCAAATACACAAGGATACCCTCTGTAGCAAAAGCTATGAGACAACCCGATGTCTCCCAAGAGATCACTGGTGAAATTAGAGTTTCATATACACAACTGTTCAAAAAGAACATGGTGAATCATCATGTGCAATTAGGGAGCAATTTCCAAGATGTATTGATGACAGGAAAGCAAGACACAGCATCATGGTAAAGTGTGTTCCTTTCGATGGAGAAACAAGGGAGCACACGCAGACGCATGTACAGGTGCTGACAACACCTGAAAGAGAAATAAGCAGCAGCCAGAATTGGTGACAAAGGTTCTATGTTCAGTGCACTCTCCCACCATTTGCCTCTTTTTAACCACAGCTACAATTCACTTCTTGAGATGACCTTCCTGGAGCCCAGAGTTCTTGCTTTAAACAGGGATGTGATAAGCCAGATGCAGTGGCAGACTCCTGCAGTCCTAGCTATTTGAGACGCTGAGGCGGGAGGCTCACTTGAGCCTAGGAGTTCAAGACCAGCCTGAGCAACAGACTATTTGAAAAACAAAAATGAGCCAGTTGCAATGGAGCACGTGTGTAATTCTAGCTACTTGGGAGGCTGAGGCGAGAGGATCACAAATTTGAGCCTAACCAGGGCAACCTGGCAATTCGCAAGGCCCTGTCTCAAAATAAAAAACAGGCCAGGGATTTAGTTCAGTGGTTCTGCCGCCTGCCTCCCAAGCGCAAGGTCCCGAGTTTGATTCCCAGTACCAAAAAAATAAAATAAAATAAAATAAAAAACAAAAGAAGGGGGCTGGGGATGTAGCTCAGTGGCACTGTGCCTGCCTGGCAAGCACAAGGTCCTCAGTTTGATTCCCAGTACCGGGGGGGGAGAAAGGGGTGGTGGTGGTGTAGCTCAGTGCAAAGGCCGTACCACAAAAAAAAACCCAAACAAGCCTCTCCCCAAAAAGCAAAACAAGAACCCCAAAGAAAACAAACAAACAAAACCAGGGACATGATGGGACTCCCAGCGCTGGTATGGGACTGGAGTCAGGCACCTGACGACCTGTAGGTTTCCCTGTCCCGAGAGAAGTGAATCAGGCTCAGCCCCACCCACACACCACTGGCCAGCAGTGCCTCAACGCTGAGCTGGGCGTGCAGCAGGAGGAGCCCTGCCTCCTTCCCCACTCTGAGTGTTCATCACCATTTCTTCACCTGGCCGGAGGGCGTGTGGGCCTTTTATATCATTCTTTATTGTTTTTTGCATGCTTAATATAATTCATAATAGATTTTTTTTGAGTGCTGGCCATTGAACCCAGGGATTCACCCATATTAAGTCAGTGTCATACTGGAAGCTATACCCCAGTCCCTAAGGTAGTTTTAAAAGCAGAACTCACTTTATAATATGAGGTTAAGAGGGCTGTGCATATATGAGCTTGCATGTCTTTTACAATATGATTTTTCCCAGGAAGAGTCAAATCTCAAATGGTCTCAGACAGTAAGTATCTGCCTCAATGTTTCCTATAAAGATCACCCAGTCTTCCTGGTAAGTAGCACTGGTACATGCCTGTAATCCCAGCTACTTGGGAGGCTGAGGCAGGAGGATCACAAGTTGGGTTTTTTTGTTTATTTGTTTTTGATACAGGGTTTCACTATGTAGTTCAGACTGGCCTTGAACTCACTGTGAAGCCCAGGCTGGCCTCAAACTTGTAGGAATCATTCTGCCTCAGCTCTCTAAGGCAGGATGATCACCACAAGTTTGAGGCCAGCGTGGACAACTTAGTGAGAATATGTCTCAAAACAAAACATAAAAAAGGTTGGGGATATAGAAAACAGACCTATCATGCAGTCTTGCCAGATTCCTCCTCAAATCAAAAGTTTAACTTATTCCTCTGCAGAAGGAGATTTAAAAAGACACAAAACACTTTCTTCTCTTGTAAAAGTACCACTCACCAGGCTGGGGATTTAGCTCAATGGTTCTGCTGCCTGCCTTGCAAGCACAAGGTCCTGAGTTTGATCCCCAATACCAAAAAAACAACAAAAAAAAGTATCACTCACCTTTTAGCTCATATTTTTCCTGGTTAAAGTAATCCTAACTCACAGAGCTTACTTCTCAGTCTTAAGTAATAGTTATTGTTTTCAATTTGTCCTTGGGCAATTAGGGAACCTAAAAATGCCCAACAGACAGCCATACAAGACAACATCAGTATCTGCCTATTTAAGGAAGTGCCTCAGCCGCTCACAGGCTGATGGAGGAATAAGCTGGGAAACTGCTGCCTTAAAGACACTGTGCCATCTCTTCCCAGGGAAAGGGGAGTGGAGGGTGGAATAGAGAAGCCTTCCAACCAGGCCCCTCACCAACACCAGTTGTATCCCAATTCAGTGGAGTGACATTAGCATCTGTCACTGCTCTGCCCAGCACACCCTGCTCCCTTGCCAAAAGCTGGAAAAAGTCTCCAGAACAATGAACACATTTGACTTCTATTTAAAAACTCAGGACCAGGCAGCCTCTGTGGCAACACCTGCACAGTGCTGCGACCAGTGAGTCCAGAAGGGGCCTCTTCACACTGGCTCAGACAAAGTGTGAAACAGCGGCTAAGGTCACCCATCAAGTCACGGAGGCCTGGCGGTGATGAGGCACAGTGATGTCACACCTGACTGTGGCACTCAAACTGGACACAGACTACGGTATGACTGTGCTCAAAATGCGTAACCGTGGTCTAATTCTGAGAAAACACGACACAGACCCATAATGAGGGCCAGCTGACAGCACAGTTGATAACACTCCTCAAAAGCATCGATGCATGAAGGACTGTGGGAAAGGAAACACATTACAGATTGCAGTCCTGCAGAGGGCTGGACAGTAACCGAGCACTGGATCCTGGAGCACGAAAGGGTACTGGCAGAACCGCTGAAGTCTGACCGAGGTTTCAGTGTAATTCACAGAATCAGGACCAACATCTACTTCTTGGGTTTTTTTGTTTGTTTGTTTGTTTGTTTTTGGTACCAGGGATCGAACTCAGGTCCTTGCACTTGCGCAGCAGGCAGTGAAACCACTGAGGTAAATCCCCAGCCCACTTCTTGGTTTTGACCATGGCAGTATAGTAACGTAAGACGGGGACACTGGGGAGAACTGGGTAAGAAGTGTATGACTACTCTTTGTGCTATTTTGCAGCTTTTTTTCTGGGGGTGGTGCTGGGGGTTGAACTCAGGGCCTCTCACATACTAAGCAGATATTCTGTCATGGAGCTATAACCCCAGGGCTTGCAAATTTTTTCTAAGTCTAAAATTACTTCAAAATAAGAAGGTGTTTTGTTTTGTTTTTAAAGGCTGAAATATCCGGGTCTGAGTCCCTCTGTGGTCCATGAACCATGCCTTATGAAAACACCATATCCTCTCTACGTGTCAGTTTTCTTATTCATAAAAGAGAAGTTTATTTTTGTTGTTTGTTTCCCAGTTCTTTTATTTTTAATTTTGAGACGGGGTCTCCCTAAGTTGCCCAAGAGGGACTTGAACTTGCAATGCTTCCTTAGCTTCCTGAGTGCTGGCATTACCAGCACAAGCCACTGTCTTTGGGTCCAAACTGATATTCTTACTTTTTAAATGAAAATAAAAATATAGATTGCTGTATACAGAAAAAAATCTGGAGGCAAGCATACTGGTTGTTAGCTGTGGTTTCTCTGGGTATGCAGCAGATTGGCTTCCATCTGCACACTAGTTCTCTAATTTAAAAATAATGAACTTTTAACCAGTTTTGTAATCAGGAAAAAAAAGCTGTTGAAGTGGTAGGAACTGTGCACGCACCGTGTGTGACCACAGCTGACAGGAGCCAGTCCTCAGAGTCCGCCTCCTCTTCCTGCCTCTGTGTGGGCTCAGCTGGGGCCTTTCCCCAGCTGCTCGTCACACAGCTGGGTGGGGGACCCTGCCAGCCCCTGCAGGGGCCCACACTGACCCTGCTCCTCAGACCCACCCTCTGGCGCCCCTACCCATGGGATGCTGGGCTCCCGTCCCTGTGGACCCCGTGCAGCGCCCCTCACCAGGTGATCTGGGCCTCCCGGAACTGGTCTGCCTGTGCCGCTCCTCAGCCCCAACCCCCTTGCACACTAAGCGTGCTGGTCCTCCACAGGACTGTGTACCCCAAGAGGGCAGGCCCCGCCTTGCATGCACAGCCCAGGCAAGTGAGGGCAGCCCTGGAAGTGCAGCATCCAGGAGCGAGATAAGCTGCTGAAGGAAAGTTTCAGCCCCTCTCCTGGTGTGTGAGGCAGGGCTGCCAGGCAGCACCCCAGGCCTCTTCCTCCCGTTAGTGGCCCTGTGTTCAGGGTCCCCTGAAGGAGCCACGTGTATGCGAAGGACAAAGGAAGCCAACTACTCCCCCACCTTTGCTTTGCAGTGCTGGGAATTGAACCCAGAGACTTTTGCATGAGAGGCAAGGGCCTAGTACTGAGCCACATCCCCAGCCCAAACTATATCTACTACCCTTTTTTTTTGGTACTGGGGATCAAACTCGGGACCTTGTGCTTGCGAGGCAGGTGGTGGCACCACTCAGCTAAATCCCTGGCCCATCTGCTATCCTTTTAACTTAAGAAGGGAGCTGATCTGTCAGGGTCCTGAGCCAGGTGACTACCTCAGCATCCTCTGGTGCTGAGCAGCATGGCCTTCCCTCACTAGGATCTGCAGCACCTCCACTCACTAGTTTGACAACCCAAAGTATCCTAGGATGTGGTCAAGTGTCCTCAGGGCAGAAGCAAAACCACCTCAGCCCAGAAGCCCATCCTAGACAGTGAGTCAGGGACTGCAGAGAAGAAAACCAGAGCCTGCAGCCCTGACTGGCTCATCCCAACGATGAGGAGCACTCCAAGCATCCAGATGAACTCACTTGCAGCCACCTGGGGTCGGAACTACATTGACTGCCCCTGCGTAACCCTGGTCTGCTTTCCCCAGTTTCCCAGCATACTAAAGCAAATACTAAACAAAGAACCACTGTGTCCCTCAGCAACAAAATACCCGACAGAAACAACTTAAAAGAAAGATTAATTGATTGATTTGTAGTACTGGGGATTCAAACTAGGATCTTTACACTGAGCTACATCCTTAGCCCTTTTTATTTTAAGGCAAGGTCCTGGCTAAATTGCTGAGTTGCCAGGGGTGGGTTTGAACTTGTGACCCTGCTGTCTCAGCCAAAGTGTTGGGATGATGAGTGTGCACCACCACACCCTTCAGGGAAGATTTGGCTCACAGTTTGAAAGGTTTCATTCAGTCTATTGTCAGCTGGCTCTACTGCTTTTTAGGTTTGTGGGAAGGGAGAAACATAATGGTGGGAGGGTGTGGCAGAGGAAGCTGCTATTTTGCGGCAGCTAGGAAGCAGAGAGAGAGAGAGAGCAAGAGAACCCAAGAAGAGGGAGCCAGGGACAAGATACACCCCTCAGTCTCACCCCCAGAGAGCCACCAAAATTTCCACCACCTCCGCATAGCACTACTGGCTGAGGACTAAGCTTTCCGCACAGGAGTGTTGGGAGATACCCCAGATCCACCTGGACCAACCATTATAGTCGTGTGTGGGGCTTTACAGCTGGGCCTGGACACCATCAGCACAAGGAATGTGCCTGGGATCTTTAACATTAGCCTGAGATGAGCCAGGCACATTCGGGCTTGGAGAAAAACCACTTCCTGACCACTTCTGAGCCCCGCCCTCTGACTCAACTTTTGGGAACTCAGCAGTCTTCCTGCCACCCTTGACCATGCTTCTGTCAGAGTCCCCAGGAAGATTACACTCTATAATCCTGGATGTGTCTGCCTCTTTCTCTAGCCTCTTTCTGCCTTCTGCCTATGGCAGTCTGTTCATTTACAACAGGTTTTCTTGGAACAAAAGTATCCTTCAAATGGTGACTTTAGGAAGGAGCCTGTTTCCTTGCTCACAACAGGGATCAACTCTGAAAATCCAGAGTTTAAAGTCCTGGGAGGCTGGGCGTGGTGTCACTACCTGTAATCCCAGCTACTTGGGAGGCTGAGGCAGGAGGATTTCAAGTTTGAGGTCAGTGTAGGAGACTCTGTTTCAAAATAAAAAGTAGAGGGCCGGGGATTTAGCTCAGGGGTTCCACAGCTTGCCTTGCAAGCACAAGGACCAGAGTTCGATCCCCTGTACCAAAAGAAAGTAAATAAAGATAAAAAAAAGTAGAGGGCTGGGATGTAGCTCAGTAGCACTGCACCTGCCTGGCAAATGTAAGATCCTGAGTTTGATTCCCAGTACAAGAAAGAAAGAAAAGAAAGAAAAGAAAGGAAAGAAAGAAAGGAAGGAAGGAAGGGAGGGAAGGAGGGAGGGAGGAAGGAAGGAAGGAAGGAAAGAAAGAAAGAAAGAAAGAAAAGAAAAGAAAAGAAAAGAAAGACAGGGCCAGGGAAAAGGCTAGTAGAAAAGCCCAGTGGTAGAGTGGTTGTCTAGTACGTGTGAGCCCTGAGTTCAATCTCCAATTTACCCAAAACAAACAAATAAACAAAAAATAGAACAACAACAATAAAAAACTGAAAACAGGGCAGGGGATTTAGCTCAGTAGTTTTGGTGCCTGCCTCGCAAGCGCAAGGACCTGAGTTTGATCCCCGGTACAAAACAAAAAAAACAAAACAAAATTGAAAACACAAAAGTCCTAGGAGAGGAGCTGGGGATTTAGCTCAGCGGTTTGGGCACCTGCCTTGCAAGCGCAAGGTCCTGAATTCGATCCCTGGCACCAAAAAAAAAAAAAGTCCTAGGAGGCTGTTACCCCAGAGTCTGGAAGACAGGCCTTTGGGAAAGGCCCACATAGGTCTCTTTACCTGAGACCTGACAAGGCCCCTCTGTCTGAACATCAGGGGAGCCAGGAAAGCCTCACCTCTGGGGGCTTGAATGGGTAATCGGTAGGAAAGTGGATGGTCAGGAAGAAGACGCCTCCTTGGTAAGGGCTGTCATTCTGGAAGGTGAGACACAGGAACAGATAGATCAGGGCTTATGCTGAGCGTGAGGTACAAGAAGTCAGACACGCCGCGCACTCAGTAAGATTACCTACCGGACCCATGATGGTGGCCTGCCAGTGGAATACTGCAAGACAAAAGAGACACGGGCACATGAGAGACCCCAAGAATGTGCCCAGATGCCATGCAGTTTAGAGCAGTGTCCACAGACTGCCCTTCTGACACGGCTGTACATCTAGGGATTCCAAGACCAGACCTGCCAGGACTCCAGAGCTCTCTGGAGGCTGCTGTGCTCGGGGTTACAGTTTGTGACAGGACAACTGCATGCACTGCCATCAGGAGGGGTCTAGGTCAGAGCTTGGATTCCTCTCTCCATGAGCCCAGGACCTGCTTCCTCCCTCAGCATCCAGGTGAGACAACAGAGACACTGCCCAGCAGGGATCCTCACCTGAGCTTCAACACTTGGTGGCTTTACTGGGGCTCCAATGGAAGTGTTGAACCAGGTGTGTTAGTGAACATCTGTAATCCCAGCACTTAGGAGGCTGAGGCAGTAAGGTCACACATTTGAAGCCAGCCTAGGCTACATAGCTCAAAGCCAGCCTGAACTACATAGAAGGACCCTATCTCAAAAACAACAAAAATCAAAAACCAGGAATGTTTTTGATAGTATTTTGGAATAGGAGCCTATGGCAAGTGGGTAGGTAACAAAAGTAGACCCTTCCTGGTGAGCAGGTTGGGATCCTCTGGTCTCATTCATGCTAACGCGGAGAGCTGCTGGGTGCTGAGGAGGGCTGGAGGGCAGTTGGGAGAACACCGGACGACTGACTCCATGGCCTTCTGCCACAACAGAGGGCAAGCGAGGAGAGGTACCAGGAGGCTGTGGAGTTAGTTATTCCATCCCCACTCTGCACATACAACTGAGTCATTTCTGTGCTACTCCAAAAATGTGATTGGAACTCCCACAAAGAGCCTCCAGAGCCTCCACTCTCACTAGCTCCATCTGCCCACCAAAAGCCTTCAGAGCCTCCACTCCCAGTAGCTCCATCTGCCCACCTTGGCTCCTCCCAGGACATGCTGCACACATGGGCAACCACTCCTCTCTCCTTCACTAGCATAAGACGTGCCATTCACACAACTTTGAAGTGTGCCGTACAGTCACCTTATGGGCAAGTACAATGTTGTGTAACCAGCATCACTATTTCTGTCTTGTCTTTCTTTCATCATGTGTGTGTGCGCATGCACATGTGTGTGCACTGGGATGGAACCCAGGTCATTTCTAAAGCTTTTCCATCTCCCAGACAGAAGTTCTGGACCTATGAGACAATCACTTCCCACATCTACTTCCTGAGCCTCTGGTAACCCCTCATCTACTTTCTGTCTCTATGAATTCTCCTCATCTAGGTATCTGTTGAGCAGAACTATACAACATTTGTAATTTCCCCACTTATTCACTAAATTTAGCATGCTTTCAAGGTTCATCCATGCTGTAGTGCCTGTTGGGCAACACTTTTAGCCACTTATCTGCTGCTGGGCCCTGGCTAGTGGGTAACTGTACTGTAAACACGGATCTGAATTCTGTTCGCATCTGTTCTCAACTCTTTGGCATCCACAGGCCAACCCCTCCCATACGCGGTTTTCCAACAGCTGCAGCCTCACAGTACAGAAGCTGTGCTGAAGCCCAGGAAGCCCACGAGCGCAGGGAGACAGGTGAGCAGGGTAAGGCTTGGAAACCAGGGCTGTGTGCTCAGGCTCCAGCCTGCTGGCTATGAAGCAGACAGAGGACTGGCCAGGCCACCTCCCTGTCTAGCCCTCCCCCAGCTGGCTGTAGCTGCTTCCTCATCTCCCCGGGGAAGCAGAGATGAGGGGAGAAAGAGCCAGTATGGCCCTTCCCAGGCAAAAACTTCAGCCGCTGCCCCCCACTCAGTTCCCAGGTGCAGCCCTCCACAACCAGCTGCGCAATGGCTTCCACAGCGACGCCCAAGCCTGACTGGGCAGATGCACTGTCCTGAAGTGCCAAGAGTGGGGCCCAGCGGGGCCCAATCACAGCTTGGGGGTGATTTCTGGTAGCACAGGTTCCATTGAGTGTAACCTGAGCAGCAGAGGGGAACTCACAGCCCCATGGAGGGGCAGTGCATGAGCAAGTGAATGGAATGGTTTTCTGATATATGTTAGGAATATTTTTTCCCTGCCTATGTTCGCATTTTACTTTTTTTTTGGTACTGAGGATCAAACCCGGGACCTTGGGCTTGCAGGGCAGGCGGCAGAACCACTGGACTAAATCCCCGGCCCTTCGACTGGTTTTCTTAGAAACTACTTGGTGGATAAATTTGGGGGCTTTAACTGCAAGGCTCCTGCAATCAGAAGCCCTCCAAATACTTACAATCATCACCCACAGGTCCTGCGGAGCACTGGGCGGGAGGATCCCGCTGCAGGTCAGTCAGCTCCTAGAACATGAGACAGTGGGTCAGCCTGGGGTGCTGCTGGGGAGCCAATATGTACCTCAGCCTCTTGCCAAGTGAGTTCTTGTGGGAGGTCTCTGGAGGTGGCAGAAACAAGGCCAGGGCCCAGTCTACTGTGGCTGTGAAGATCCCAGTGAAGTAGATATTATCCCTTCCCTTTTATAAAATAGGATATTGAAAGGTAAAGAGGTGAGGTCACCTATCCACTGTTACAGAGCAAGATCACAGGTAGATATGCTCACCACCAAGCCTGGTCGCCAACCGGCTCAGGGAGAAGACAACATTCTCCCATGGACTTAGGAGGAACGAGCCCCAAGAGAGCCTGCAGGAGTGTGGGGGGGGGCAGGCGCTGGCTCTGGGCTAAGGAATGAATTCGTGGAAGCACTTGGCCCAGAGGAAGTACTCAGTTAAAGCCTAGTCTCTGGTACTTCCATCTCTCTTCTCTACTGTCTCCTTCACCTTTCTGGAGCCCTCCCCATCCCGGAGGTTTGGCACGTCCAGGGCTCTGACTGGAGACAACAGGCATGCAAGCCCAAGTCCAACACTGCTACCAGTGCACAGGTGGGGATCAGGAATTATACAACTAGATTCCCTTTTTTGGGACACTAATCCTGCTCACAATCCCTAAAAGTACCCTTGGCTTGGCAGGAGGCTGAAGGCCTAAGATTTGGGGCAGTGATTCTCAGGCATCACTTTGAATGTATGAGAATGTTCCCTGATACTGCATATTCTCCCCTGGTTCCAGATCCTGATAAACTTCCTGGGGTTTCCACAGAGGTTTCAAAAGCAAGGAAGGGGCACAAATAATGGAGTACCCTGTGTTAGGGAACCCACAGGAAACGGCAAAGCCAGGGTCCAGTAGGTGCACAAAGCTCACAGCTGGCTGACAACATCCCTCCTCACCTGATCCAAGCCTAACACTCTCATCCACAAAGACCCTCTGGTGCCCACCACATACGGGCACATGTGTAGCATGCTAAATACACTAGCAACCTCCAGTCTCTGGCTACTTATCCCACTTTCCTCTAAATTTATTGTTTTGTTTTGAAACAGGATCTTGTTATGTATTTCAGGCTGGCCTTAAACTCACCACATAACCCAGGCTAGCTTCAAACTCAAAGTAATCCTCCTGCCTCAGCCTACTGAGTGCTAGAATTATAGGTGTGCACCACAATGCCCAGCTCATTTCCCTCTAATCAGCATGATGAGAGTGTTAATGCCATAGAGCCTGGCAAACTACAAATCAGGCCATTTTCTCTGAGAGTTGATCTCTTCTCTTCTCTTGTACTGAGAACTGAGCCCAGGGCCTTGTGTGTGCTAGGCCTTTCTTCTCATGCTGAGCTACATTCCCACACCTTTTAAATATTTTTCACTTTAACACAGTCTTGCTATGTTGACCAGGCTGGCCTTGAATTTGTGATCTTCCTTCTTCAGTTTCCTGTGCAGCTGAGATTACTGGAATGTACCACTACACCCAGCTGCCTGAGAGTTGATTCCTAAACATCTCTCTACCAGTACACTGGTCTGTTCTCAGCTAGTGTCTAAGGTATCTGACCACTTTCTCACATGTAAAGTGGACTGTACTTGGTAAGACTCAGTAAGCAGCATTACTAGGTGTCACAGAAGAGAACTTGGGGAACAACGGAGGCTGTGCAAGGGGACCAGAGGACACACTCAAAGTGCAAGAGCTCCAGAACTCTTCTACTTACACTAGCTGTGCTCTCAGCACCTCCACCGCCATTCTGCAGGGATGTGCTAACACCCACGTGATGCTGCATGAGTGAGGGACCTCCTAGACAGGACTCAAGGCAAATCCCGCAGAGAACAAATGAAGCATGGGGACCACAGAAGGGCAGCAGTACAGACCAGTGCCCTCCGGCTTGGAAGATTTCCCTACATCTCCATGCTTTTGCATTCGATCTACCCAGAATCCAGGTCCTTCTCTTAGGCGTCTGATAAAGTTACTAGAACTTACTGACTCCTGGAAGGCCAGAAGCAGGTCCCTATTGGTAGGCTCTAACCAGTACCCAGGGGTTTAGAATGCGTCTTAGTTGCTTTCTCAATGCTGGGATACAATACCTGGCACCACAGCTTAAAGGATGAGAGGTTTATTTTGGCTCATGTTTTAGAAGTTTGTCCTTTCATGATTGGCCGGTTCTAAGCAGAAGTAGCATAGTGGAAGGGTCTGGCAAAGGAAAGCTGCTTACCTTACAACACCAAGGGAGCAGCGGACAAAGAGGAGTGGGGAGGGAGATAACCCTTCTGGGACACGCCCCCCAGTTGCCCTCTCTTCTGGCCAGCCCCCACCTCCTATAAACTCATCAGCAGACTAATCCACCAATGGGTATAGCACCCTCACGATCCAATCAGCTCCCAAAAGCCCCACCTATGAGTATATGAGGCTTTGGCAGGACAGCTAGATATAAACTATAACAGAATGCTAACACGCATTTTAAGGAAGAACTGCATGTTTTGGAAAAAAGTAGTTAGCTCACATTCCATACTTACCTAATAGTCCTGGAAGACTCAGGTCAGAGTGCCAGCGCCAGGAATGGGAAAGACACTTTCACCCCCTTCATGTCTCAGTGTAACTACCTGTAAAGCTGTCATTACAACTGCCTGGCATTTAAAAGTATGTAATGCACACAAGAGCACCCAGTAAAGATCACAGAAAACAGTGTACAGAGGATGCTACCAGGAGCATTATAAAAAGGGGAGGAGAAAAAAATATATATATGTAATACTGGTTGCTCCCAGGGAGGGAAGCTGGATAGCTGGGGACAACAGTGTGGTAGGCTTTTCCCTGTGTACTCTTTCTACCTTCTGACTTATAAGCCACGGAAACTTAATACCTAAATATATATTTCATGAATTGTAAATGATGATGCAGGTAAAGGGTGTGTAGTAATTATTGCTACAAATAACAAGTGATGATAAAAGTAGAGTCCCAAAAAAAGGAAAGAAGGTTAAAAGATTAAGGATTACTGAAGAAAAAGTTAAGCAAATGATGGTACACACTCAATTCTTGAGTCTGGCGCCTTAGACCACTTGGCCATCCTCACACTCAATTCTTTTACTATGTTTTATCAACTCCAAGACATCATCCACTGAGAGACACAATTTTATGTACAACTAAGAAAGAAAACATGTTGGCAATTACACTAATATCCATACTTTCTTTAAATTTAAATTTTATTTTAAATTTATCCTCATTGAAAGAACTCTTTCAGACTCATTTGGACATGTTTGATTTTTCTAAAATCAAGAATCACTCATACATGCCAAAAAAGAAAAGAGGAAAAATATGGAAAACAAATGAACTGATGTTCAGGTGTTCTTAAAACTTTTTCACATTCAGAGCTGGACAGTGAGTCACGGAAGTGCATACAGAATCACTTTCTGCCTTTGGGGAATGGGGATGCAACCATTCCTGGAGTCCTCCACTGCTCTTTCTGGAGTTTCTTTCCAAGTGCTGACATCCCGCAAAGCCCCAGGGTACACATTCTCAGCAAGTATCCCCGCAAGGAGGAAGGGCCCAGCCAGAGCAACTGCAGGCCGAGGTACCTTCTCTCTGGGGTCTGTGAAGCATTTGGCTGTGTGGCACGAGAAAAGGAAATTGTCTTGCCTCCAACAACAAATATTTGCTCCAGTCATAAAGCTTATTCTCTTACTGTACTCGTTCCATTCATTCCATTTCTTCTTTCCCTCCCTTCCCTTTTGTGTGTGTGTGCGTGTGTGGTACTAAAGATTGACATCAGGCCCTCTGCACTGAGCTACATTCCCAGCCCCTTTTTTATTTTGATTCAGGGTCTCAGAAAGTCACTAAGTTGCCCAGCTGAGCTTGAATTCTACCCTTCTGCCTCAGCCTCCCAGAGTGCTGGGATTACAGGCATGCACTACTGTGTTTTATACTGAGACAGGGTCTTTTTTTTTTTGGTACCAGGGATCAAACTCGGGAGCTTGTAAGGCAGCCAGTGGAACCACTGAGCTAAATCCCTGGCCCAAGACAGGGTCTTCTTATATTCCCTTCTGATTGCCCTGCCTCAGCCTCCTGAGTAGCTGGGACTGCAGATGTGCACCCCTGACCCAGTTAAAGATATTTTTAAAGCAATTATAAACTCAGTGCATATGTTAGTAGCAACAGTGCACTTACCTCCATTGAACTGTCATGACCCAATGCACATAGATGGGGACAATTCATGTTATGATTTAGATCTAGATGTCCCCCCAAAGGCTCATGCACTCAAAGGCAGGGCTTCTGGAAGGTGATCAGATTACGGGGTTATCTAGATAACCTCGTAATCTAGCTGACTTGCTGTTGGAAGGTGTGGCCTGGTCAGAAGTGAGTCACTGAGGGCATGACCTGGACGGATGTATCACACTCTGCTTCCCCACCACCATCACGATTTGAGCAGCTTCTCTGCTTTGTCTTCTGCCGTACTATCCTGCCTTATAGCCAGACAATCATGGACTAAAAATGAGAACCAAAATAAACTACTACTCCTTTAAATTGTGGGTGTTGGGTATTGAGTCTTAGCAATGAAAAAAGTGACTGAGACAGGTTTTGGTTTTTTTATGGTACCAGGGATCGAACTTGGGTCCTTCCAATTATGAGGCAGGTGGCGGAACCACTGAGCTAAATCCTCGGCCCTGAGACAGGTTTTGGTGCTGGAAGTGGCTCTGCTGCTGTGCCTATCCAACTACTTTGGCTCTGAAGTCTTTGAAACTGGTTCTTGGGAGGAGTTTGGAAAGGTTTGGAGATGATGGCTGGAGAAGACCTACAATGCTGTAAACTGAGCTTGATGGGAGATTCTAGTCAGAGGTCAGAAGACCAGAATGCTGACAAAAAGCAGACCATGAAGACCAGGATCAGGAGGTTTTGGGTGGGAACAAGGACTCCTGGCAGCTGGACTCCAGGCCATGTGTGTTACTCTCTGGCAGAAAATTTGTCTACATTTTGCCCATGTCCTGAGACTTTGAGGGAAATTCTAATTAAGGGCAGTGGATTAATTTAGCTAGCAGAGGAAATTTCAAGGGAGCCCAAAATTCAGATTGTGGCATAGGTACTGTTTCTGGCTTTTAGCCAGCTCTATTTTGAGTATCAAGAGCAAATGGGCAACTTCCGGGAAGATGGCAGAGTGGTGAGCAGCAGAGAAAGAGCTTCTCTGAGATTTGGTGTCCTTACACTGAAATACAGCAGCATGAGGAAGAGAAGGAGGAGGGAAGTGGGTCCCTGGAACCCAGGAAGAATCTGAGGTGAGAACTGAAGTCTACTGGGAGAGAAGAGAGAGAGACTTTAATGAAGAGGAGGGAGGTACCAAGCAGTGCTCTCTCCCAAAGCCCAGACTCTCCATGAAAGAATGATGGGCCAAAACTGCAGATGGACAGTGACTACTGATGACACGAGGCCTCCACCGAGACACGCACCAGTGAAATGGAGCAGTGGACAAATCCAACTGCAATGCAGGTGAGTCATCCAGATTCAGACCTTACCCAGGAGAGAGTGATTGGCTGGTAGCCATCTTGAAGAGGGGCCAACTGAGCTTGGAACTCAAAACAGCTTCGGGCAGACTCCATCTAGCTTCCAGTGCCTCCATGCACTTCGGGCAGACTCCATCTAGCTTCCAGTGCCTTCACGCAGGTGCTGAGTAGTCAGCAGGAGATTAGGGAGTAGAGTTCAAGCTAGCAGGAGACACAGACTGTTGTAGGTTCAAAGAATCCGGTTCCAGGGCCGGGGATTTAGCTCAGTGGTTCTGCTGCCTGCCTTGCAAGCACAAGGACCCAAGTTCAATCCCCAAACAAAAAAAAAAGAATCCGGGTCCAGCCTCATAGCCAGAAAGTTCATAGCCTGAACTTTAGAGGAACTAAAGGGGCATGCTGGCTGGGATTATCCACTACCCCACCATGAAGCTGCAGTTACTTTGCTGGTTCTAGACTCTGTTTGCCCACATTTCCTAACAGCGACAGCAGAGACACATCTTGAATTGAATGTTTTTGGGTTCTTTATCTTTTTTTTCTTTTTTTCTTTTTTCTTTCTGTTCTTCCTTCTTTCTAGTTCTTGTTTAGTTTTTTCTTGATTATCTGAATACAGTTTCTAGTTTTTTGTTGTTCTTCTGTTCTGTTCTTGTTTTTATTTTTTACTTTTCTCTTTCCCACCTGTCTTCTTCACCAGTTTCCTAAAGTTTGTCCTCCAGTCTTGCTTCTGATCTCTTCCTCTTCCTCTATTTCTGTTTTTTACCTCCTAACCCCTTTACATCTTCTTCCCTAAGGGTAAAAAAGCCATATCAAGGGCTACAAATTGTCATTTTCTAAGCTGTATTTGATGCTCTTGTTATTGTTGATTGTACTACTTTAGCCAAGGTGACATAATTGTGCTAATCAGTTGTTCCTTTGATATACCAAGACTGACATTGCCTAAGGGTCTTAAAAAAAAAAAACCTACAGGCCAGTGCCAAAAAACTGGCAGGTGAGCCAAGTAGGCAGAAACTTCTCACTCCAATAAACTGAAGAGGTCGAATCCTGCAACAGCTCAAAACCCAAAAGCTAGCTACACCTGGAAGATGCTTCTGAGAAGTAGTCATTTCCTAAGGATTCTGAATACTGGCAATAAAGCTACTCGCCACAAGCAATTTATAAGCATCAACTCAGGAATCAAACCTAAAAAAAAAAGAGAGAGAGAGAGAGAGAGAGAGAGAGAGAAGACACTTAAACAAGATGCAACCCCCACAGACTCAGCTCACCAAAGGCAAACCTCCGGGGCAATGCAGTGGAACAATCCAAAAGCTACCCACCTGGACTCTCTGAAGTAGTAACAGCAGAAGTAACAAAGCAGATGAATGAGACTCTAGAAAAAAAAAATCAAAGCAGAAATAATTTCCCAGATAACTACAGAGATGGTGGCTAGAATGAAAGATACAGATGAAAAAAATAGAGGAGCTCAGGAATGTGATGGAAGCCATGAATGCCCAGCAAAGAAAAGAAATGGAATCCATGAAACAGATTCAAACAGATATCCAGGGGATTTAGCTCAGTGGTTCCGCCACCTGCTTCGCAAGTGCAAGGACCCAAGTTCAATCCCCGGTACCAAAAAAAAAACAACAAAAAAACAACTCTACTGAAAATATACACAGTAGAATGAGCCAATGTGAGGGCAGAATATCAGATACAGAAGACAGGTTTGCAGTTAGCGATCAGGAAAAGAGAGATTTCTTAAAAATAGCAAGGGACTATGAGAAATCAATCCAGCAGCTGCTAGATGATGCAAAGAAGAATAACATAAGATTGATTGGAGTCAATGAAAAAGCTGGAGAGAGCATAAATGACATTTAAAAAAACCTGTCCTCAGAAGCAATGGCAGAAAATTTCCCAAACAGGGAAAAAGAATTTGGCATACAGAAAAGTGAGGCATATAGGACTCCAATTAGCCATGAGCAAAGAAAGTCTTCCCCAAGGCATATATTAGTCAAGAGTCCAGAAATTCAACACAAGAACAGAATATTAAAAGCTGTTAGAGAAAAGAAATGAATCACCTTTAAAAGAAAGCCCATCAGAATCACAGCAGACTTCTCAACACAAACTCTCAAGTCATGGAGAGCTTGGAGTGAAGTATTTCAAGCCCTAAAGGAAAACAACCTCCAATCCAGACTGATGTACCCTGCAAAACTATCCTTTAAAATTGATGGAGAAATATGATACCTCCATGACAAAGAATACTTGAAGAAATTCATGACCACTAAACCAGCACTCCAAAGTGTTCTGAAGGATATTCTAGAAAGAGACAATAAGGATTACAACTCCATGAACCCCAACAGAATGAATCCACCAGGCAAGGCAAGAAATGAAACAGAAAAGGAAAGAAGGAAGCCAACAGCAGGAAAATAACAGGACAGAGATAAGACAGTACATACCAGTTATAGCCATCAATGTTAATGTTCTCAATTCAATCAAAAGAAACAGACTGGCAGAATGGATCAAGAAGCAAGATCCAATAATATGCTGCATACAAGAAACACAATTAAGGGCTGGGGATTTAGTTCAGTGGTTCTGCTGCTTGCCTTGAAAGCCCAAGGTCCAGAGTTTGATCCCCGTTACAAAAAAAAAAAAAAAAGAAAAGAATTAATTGAAAAACAAATTCACAGACTAAAAGTCAAGGAATGGAAAACAATATTCCATGTGAGAGGAAACCAGAAAAAAGCAGAGGTAGCTATTTTGTCTGCAGACAAAGTGTATTTCAAGCCAAGACTGATTAAGAGAGATGAAGAAGGGACCAGGGATTTAGGTCAGTGGTTCCTCCACCTGCCTCAAAAGTGCAAGGTCCCAAGTTCGATCCCAGGTACCAAAAAAAAAAAAAAAGAGAAGAAGGTCAACACATCCTGGTAAAGGGAACAATCCAAGAGGAAGAGAAAACAATCCTAAATATATATGCACCAAATAGCAGTGCACCCAACTATACAAAACAAATATTAATGGACATGAAAAATTATATATGCACTAATCCAGTTGTAATGGGGGAGCTCAATACCCACTGTCACATATAGACAGATCAACCAGACAAAAAATCAACAATGAAATATTAGAATTGAACCAAACTTTTGAACAAATGGACTTAGTAGATGTCTACAGAGTGTTCCACCCCACAACATCAGAATACATATTCTTAGGGCCAGGGATTTAGCTCAGTGGTTCTGCCACCTGCCTCACAAGCACAAGGTCCCGAGTTTGATCCCTAGTACCAAAAAAAATTAAAAAATTAAAAAATCTTCTCAGCTGCACATGGGACTTTCTCCAAAAGAGACCACATACTAGCTCATAGAGAGTGGGTATTTAGCTCAGTTGTTCTGCAGCCTGCCTCGAAAGCGCAAGGTCCCAAGTTCGATCCCCAGTACCAAAAAGTAAAACAACAACAACAACAACAACACTGAATTATAACGCTGGAAATGTAGCTCAGTGACAGAGCACCTGCCCAGCAGGCCTGAGTCCCTGGGTTCAATCCCTCAAACTTAAAGGGAAAAAAAGGTCATATTCTTAGCCTGTAATCCACTTCTGGCAATCAACCTAATAATCTGAATTAAGGAGATGGCTAAATTCGGCAAGTGCTTGTAGTCCCAACTACTTGGGGGGCTGAGGCAGGAGGATCCCTTTGAGTCCAGGAGTTGGAGGCCAGCCTGGGTAACACAGCAAGATTCCTTCTCAAAACACAAAACCTCTGCAAAGAAAGCTCACTGCAGGGCCTAGGATTTAGCTCAGGGGTTCTGCCACCTGCCTCCCAAGCGCAAGGACCCGAGTTTGATCCCTGGTACCAAAAAAAATAAAATAAAATAAAGTTCACTGCACTGCTCATCACATCACTGTTTAGTGAAAATTTTGGAAAAATGAGAGTTAACTCATATTTGACCACTTGTCATATGCTTGTCAGCCATGTTCTGAGCATGTATCATCTCATTTAATTCTCAAGATGACTCTAACAAGGTAGCACAGGAAGACTAGGAATGATTCAGCACCTCCTTGAGGTCCCACAGTAAGTGATCCTGTATTCTCTAAGCCTATAACCTAGGTTTATCTGACATCCTAGTCCATGTTTTTAACCCACTCCAAGTAATGAGCACCTAAGCTACTGGGCATGGACTTGCGGGATATTAAAAATTACGATTATAAATACTATTTCACAATGTGGAAAGTGCTTTATTTAACGCTATGTGAAAACATGAGAAAAAGTACATCATTACTCTTTCAAAGTACAAGAGAAAAAAATAAATAAAGCACACGAAAAAGCCTGGAAGTAAATAAAAGATTAAATGATGAGGGAGCAGAACTGGAAATACTTTTTTCAACTGTGCACTTTCCAAATTTTACTTTAACGAACGGAAAATTCCTAGCAGGCCTTCCTGTTACCCAAAGGACAAAAACCTGTTACTCCAACGCCCCCCACTCCCTCCCACGAGCCTCACGGAAAAGCCCCAGTCCCTTTCCCGGGCGGCAGAGCTCAGCCTCCTCCAAGTCCCCCGCGGGAGCGCACGTGACCCAGCCGCGTGACTCCGCCCATGTCAATAGGGCCCGCCCCGCGCACGCGCCGGTCCCTTACAAGGCTGCGCCCGCGGCGATTCCACCTGCTTCTTCGGCAGGTGTCGGTGTGTCCCGTCGCGCCTCTGCCGCAGGTCATTTCATCCTACCGGTGCACGTCCGCGCCTCGACGCTCGAGACCTCCGAGGAGTCATAGGGTGGGACGGCCCCTTACCTTCTGGATCCGCTTCAGTGCCATTCTCCCGGTTTCTCGAAACCTCGAGGCCCGGCGGGGGTGCCCGCGGCGGCCCGTTGCCGGTTCGGCCGCCGCGCGGGGCACGCCGGGTACCAACGTCTGCGCTTGCGCACCGCGGGGCACGGTGGGGCTGTCGCGCCGGCTCCGCTGCTCTGGCCTGAGGTCAGCCAAGGCCGAGCACAGTGACGCTCCGGGAACCCGCGGGCCGTCACCCGCTATGCACCCAGTCCCCGTGCGGGCTCCTCCCCAGGCTGTCACGTAACTCCTGAGGGTAGTGGTTCCCAGCCCTGTGAGTATACCTACGCTTTTATATGTGCATTACTGTCAGAGGGTCGCAGCTCTTCTGGGCAGATGTACGTAGTAAGCGGACACGGCTATGTGCAGGGGCCAGCAGAGCTACGTCTGCACAACGGCGGCCTGAAACCGCATACCACCCATTAATTCTCCATCTCCTTCCCTTTTCCCCAGAACCTGGGCGGTATCTAGGTCAGTTTTCAAATCGTAGTTATGAACCAGTGTGTCACAACATCAGTTTAACGGGTTGCAACTAACATTTTATAAAATGAAATAGAATACAATATACAGTATCAGTGTAACTCACATAGTAATGGGAAGAATTGTGAAAGTTCTGTTGATGTTAGACACCTAGGAGCATAAGAGGGGGTGCTGCTGCAATTACTCCAGGGTCAAAGGTGTAATCTGGGATTGTTGCTGACAAGTAGGACACAGGTCACCTCTATGTGTGTCAGGACATAAAGTCTCTGGCTTCCATTCTTTCCTGCCCCCAGTCTGTCCTCCACACAACTTCGTGAACTGTACTTTAAAATGTAAATCGTACCAAGCCTCATCTTTTCCCCAAAACTATTCAAGAGAGCCCTATGGCCTATAAGAATACATTCAGGGTCATCCGAGCCCTTCAGGATCTAGTATCCTCCAGCTTTTTCTCCTCCTCTGTAACCTCCAGCCTAGCTGATTGTAAAGGATTTCTTTCAGTTCTCCCGTTTACATTCCTTTACTCTTGGCTGCCTGCTCTCCATCTTGGTGCCCTCCCTCCCAAAGAACCTTCCAAAGTCAAGCACTGGACAATAAAGCACCTTCCCTTGGTTGTCACAGCACAAATTATCAGGTGAAGCGGCACATGCTTGTAATCCCAGCTACTCCGGAGCTGAGGCAGAAGAATCCCCAGCCTGGGCAACGGAGTGAGACCCTGGTTCAGAAGAAAGTAATAACAGAAATTCCTGTTAGTTCATTGGCCATCCCTCTCCATGTCACTTAATGGCTGTCTTCTCATGGAAAAAGTGCTCGGAAAGTTTTGCTAATTGTCCAGCGAATTTCTCTTTCTGATCCAGAATCAATTATATTTTTTTTCCAGAATCAATTTTAGCATTCCACTTTGTACTTACCTTCTCAGCTTAGACTTTGCAATCTCAGTTATATAGTCATGAGTTTTTAAATTTTCTGATTGTAACCCAACATTACAGGTCTAATTTTTCACTTCTTTCCTTATTTATAATGTAACTCTTTTTGTTTTTTTGGTACCGGGGATCGAACTTGGGTCCTTGCACTTGCACAGCAGGCGGCGAAACCACTGAGCTAAATCCCCGGCCCTATAATGTAACTCTTTGTTCAAGGGTAAAAACTCTAGCTTTCATTATTCACAATATATTTATTTCTCTGCTTAATCCTAGTATCATCAGCTCTCCATATTCATGGGTTCCACATCCATCATTTCAACCGATCACAATGTGAAAATATCAGAGAAAAAAACTATCTCTGTTGAAAATATGTAGATATTTCTTGCCATTATTTCCAAATAATGCAGTGTAATAACTGTTTACATGCCATTTACATCGTATTAGGTATTTTGATTTAGAGAGGATTCGAAGTGTGCACCAGTGGTTGTGCATAGGTTATATGCAAATGTGCTACCTTATAGAAGGGACTTGAGCATCCAGGAATAGCAGGTCCCATGGACCCTGAGGGATGGATGACTCTGTACATAGCTGCTGATATACCTTTGTGAAAGGCAAATTGTTAAGTGGAGTATAATGTTACATAGGGTGTTTTATCTTGCGCCTTATAGTATGTAGACATTAATCTTATTGGGTCACAGCCCTACTCTGTGACCTTACTTAACCTCAATTACCTCCTTAGAAATCCTGTCTCCAGGGCCAGGGAATTAGCTCAGTGTTTCAGCTGCCTGCCTTGCAAGCCCAAGGACCTGAGTTGGATCCCTGGTACCAAAAAAAAAGGAAAAAAAAAGAAATCCTATCTCCAGATACAATCACACTGAGGGGGTTAGGGCTTCAGCATACAAATTGTAAACATTCACTTCATAATAATGGTGAAGGTCTAAATGTTGTCTCCATGTAAGATCAGGAATAAGGCCAGTTTACTCTCACTACTATTCAACATTCAGCACTGAATTGGATGTTGTGGCCATTGCTATAAGGAAAGGAAAAGGAATAAAAGACAGATTGGAAAGACAGTTGTTTTTTATTTGTGCATGCCATGATCGTCTGTATAGAAATCTGAAACTGCAAAAAGCCTAGTAGGTTACAGAGTTACAGATGTAAGATTGTTGTACAGCATTAATTGTATTTCTTCTGTGTACTAGCAACAAACAGTTAGAACTTACATGGCTGGGGCTGTAGCTCAATGCTTGCCTAACATACACGAGGCTCTGATTCTCATTCCCAGCACCACAAAATAAAAAGAAAAGAAATTGTGATGGTTAATCATGTCAACTTGATTGGCCTGAGGGATTTCTAGGAGACTGGGAAAGCACGCTTGTGGAATGTTTGGGTGGGTCAGGTGAGAGTACGACCTTGAGGACTGTATCTGCTCCCTGGCCCCTTTCTCCCTGGCTGTCCTGGAATGAGCAGCTTCCCTCTGTCAGGCCCTTTTGTCATGATGTTTCTTTGTGGGAGCAAGCCAGCCATGGACTGAAACCTTGGAAACTGTGAGCCAAAATTGTGTTTGTCCGGTATTTTGTCCTAGCAGTGGAAAAGCTAACAATACAAGGATCATAGACCTATTATCAAATTAGATCAAAACAATAAAACTTTTAGGGAAAAAAGCAAAAGAGAAAGTCTTAGTGACCTTGGATTTGATATCTTAAATACAACATAAAAAACACCAATTCTAAAAGAAAAAGCAATAAATTGGGCTTCATCAAAATATTAAAAAGTGAAATGTGGAAAGAAGTTGGATTGGCAGAGGGACTTGGAAACAGAATGACTTGGCAATGAGTACCCAAGTTTTCATCTCATTTTCTCTGGGTGCTAAAGAGGCAGCAATGTGGGAACACAGTTGAGAGTAAGGGTGGTAGGGGAGGAGCCCTGAGATAGCTTGCTCTTTCTAGCCAAAGGACCTGAAAAGGAACAACCTAGTAGTATGATAAACTCAGAAATATTACTCTGGCCAACACCATGGAACAAGATGGGCCCCATCCTTATCAAAAAAGGTTTAGTGGAGGGGCTGGGGATTTAGTTCAGTGGTTCTGCTGCCTGCCTCAAAAGCACAAGGTCCTGAGTTTGATCTCTGGTACCAAAAAAGAAAAAGAAAAGGTTTAGTGGAGAGGACTTCCACAGCAGCTATGTTGTGTAGAGATGAGGTGGTGTCAGAAAAGGCCAATGCAGCTGAGATTGCCATTCCCACCCAGTGAGATTGATGCCCGCCCTCTCTCATGCTCCATGCAAGCCACCTGGGAGGCAGTTACAAGGTGTTCATCCTTCTCCCTGACTGGGTGTTGGACTTTACTCTCATTTGGCAGTTATGGGCTGAGGCATTTATTCCTCTGGTATACGAGAGAAGGCCTACAAAATGGAAGATGTGAATAAGATCCAGAATCTCCTAACCTAATACACAAAAATATCCATGATATAATTGAAAATCATTCATTCTAAGGATCTCTCAACTTGAGTAAGATGGATAACCAATAGACCTCACATCAGAAATGACACAGAGGCTGGCTCAGTAGCACACGCCTGTAATCCCAGCACATGGGAGGCTGAGGCAGGAGAATGGCTACAAGTTCAAGGCCAGCCTGGGCTACATGGTGAGTTCAAGAACAGCCTGAACTACATAGCAAGACCCTGTCTCAAAAACACAAACAAACAAAACACAGAGGTTAGAATTATTTGACAAAGATTTAAAAGGAAGCATCATAAAAATACTTCAGAGAACAATTGCGGACATACTTTGAAAGAAATGAGAAATTAAAAAATCTCAGCAAAGAAATCAAGATGTAAAGAAGGGCTGGATGGAAGCCAGGCATGGTGGCTCATGCCTGTAATCCCAGAATGCAGAGGCTGAGGTAGAAGGACTCCAAGTTCAAGCACAGCCTGGCAACTTGGCAATTGAGTGAGACTGTCTCAGACAAAACAAATACAACTCAGTGTGGAGGCTCTGGGTCAATCCCCAGTACAGGAAAAAGAAGCAGGTGCAGAACTGGATGGCAAAAGACATAAACGTAGACATAAACCTAAAGAAGCTGAGCCAACCACATGTAGGGTAAACCTAAAGAAGTCCATGTCAAGGTGCATCATAGTCAAAACTCTGAGGGGCCAGGGATGTAGCTCAGTGGGGCTGCACCTGCCTGGCAAGTGTAAGGTCCTGAGTTCGATCCCTGGTAGGCCCCCCCCAAAAATAATAAATAGTCAAAATTCTGAAAAAGTTAGAAAAAATCGTGAAAATAACAACTAAGACTTATAAGGCAAAGTCAGCTCAAGTTACAGGCCAAGATAAAGTGGAATAACATTTTTTTTTTGGTACCGGGGATAGAACTCGGGTCCTTGCGCTTGCACAGCAGGCGGCGAAACCACTGAGCTAGATCCCTGGCCCTGGAATAACATTTTTTAAAAGCTGAACGCAATAAAAGTTAATTTTCTGTCCAGTAAAAGTATTCTTCAGAAAATAAAGTAGAGCTGGGCATGGTTTTGCGTGTCTCTAGTCCCAGCACTCAGGAGGCAGAGGCAGGAGGGTTGCTGTG